CAGTCGTGGTGGCAACCCCCGTACCCGCTGGTGGGCACCAGAGGTTCGGGCAGCCGTCAAGCTGAAGAAGGAGGCCTACAGGGCGTGGCTGGTCAGTGGGTCTCCGGAGGCAGCAGACAGGTACCGGATAGCCAAGCGGGGTGCAGCAGTGGCAGTTGCCGAGGCAAAATCTCGGGCGTGGGAGGAGTTTGGTGAGGCCATGGAGAAAGACTATCGATCGGCTCCAAAGAGGTTCTGGCAAACTGTCCGGCGCCTCAGGAGAGGAAGGCAGCAACTCGCTCACACTGTTTACAGTGGGGATGGGGAGCTGCTGACATCAACTGAGGCTATAGTCGGACGGTGGAAGGAATACTTTGAGGAGCTCCTCAATCCCACCAATGCGCATTCCGAGGAGGAACCAGAGCTGGGAGGCCTGGGGATGGACTGTCCGATCTCGGGGGCAGAAGTTGCTGAGGTAGTCAAACAACTACACAGCGGCGGAGCCCCGGGGGCGGATGAGATTCGTCCTGGGTATCTCAAGGCTATGGATGTTGTAGGGCTGTCATGGTTGACACGTCTCTACAACATTGCGTGGTCATCGGGGGCAGTTCCTAGGGAGTGGCAGACCGGGGTGGTGGTCCCCATCTTTAAGAAGGGTGACCTGAGGGTGTGTTCCAACTATAGGGGGATCACACTCCTCAGCCTCCCTGGAAAGGTCTACTCCAAGGTACTGGAGAGGAGGGTCCGATCGATAGTTGAATCTCAGATAGAGGAGGAGCAATGTGGTTTTCGTCCTGGCCGTGGAACTGTGGACCAGCTCTATACCCTTGCAAGGGTGATGGAGGGGGCATGGGAGTTTGCCCAACCAATCCACATGTGTTTTGTGGATTTGGAGAAGGCTTATGACCGTGTCCCCAGGGGCACCCTGTGGGGGACGCTCCAGGAGTATGGGGTGGGTGGCTTTCTGTTAAGGGCCATTCAGTCCCTTTACCAGAGGAGCGTGAGTTTGGTCCGCATAGCCGGTAGTAAGTCGGACCTGTTCCCAGTGAGGGTTGGACTCCGCCAGGGCTGCCCTTTGTCACCGGTTCTGTTCATCACTTTTATGGACAGAATTTCTAGACGCAGCCGTGGTGTGGAGTGTGTCGAGTTTGGTGGCAGGAGAATCTCGTCTCTGCTTTTTGCGGATGATGTGGTCCTCCTAGCTTCATCCAGCTCTGACCTTCAGCTCTTGCTGGGTAGGTTCGCGGCCGAATGTGAAGCGGCTGGGATGAGGATCAGCACCTCCAAATCTGAGACCATGGTTCTCGACCGGAAAAGGGTGGCTTGCCACCTCCGGGTCGGGGGAGAGGTCCTACCTCAAGTGGAGGAGTTTAAGTATCTCGGGGTCTTGTTCACGAGTGAGTGTAGGAGGGATCGGGAGATCGACAGGCGGATTGGTTCGGCGTCTGCAGTGAAGCGGACGCTGAGCCGATCTGTCGTGGGGAAGAGGGAGATGAGCCAGAAAGCCAGGCTCTCGATTTACCGGTCGATCTACGTCCCAATCCTCACCTATGGTCATGAGCTTTGGGTAATGACCGAAAGAACGAGATCGCGGATACAAGCGGCCGAAATGAGTTTCCTCCGTAGGGTGGCCGGGCTCAGCCTTAGAGATAGGGTGAGGAGCTCGGACATTCGGGAGGGACTCGGAGTAGAACCGCTGCTCCTCCGGATCGAAAGGAGCCAGTTGAGGTGGTTTGGGCATCTGGTCAGGATGCCTCCTGGACGCCTCCCCGGGGAGGTGTTTCGGGCATGTCCTGCCGGCAGAAGGCCCCCGGGTCGACCCAGGACACGTTGGAGAGGTTACATCTCCAATCTGGTCCGGGAACGCCTTGGGGTCCTGCCGGAGGAGCTGGTGGACAAGGCCGGGGAGAGGACGGCCTGGAGCTCCCTAGTTGGGATGCTGCCCCCGCGACCCGGACCCGGATAAGCGGAGGAAGACGAAGACGAAGACGAAGCCTGATACTTAAAACTTTATTGTTATTGTTGCTGAATGCTTTGTAATTCCGACCAGACACGGAGACAGAGGTGAAAGAGAAAGGAAAAGAAAAGGTGGGGAGAGAGAGGGGGGGGGTGTTCCACAAAAATGAACAATAATGAACAAGAGTCTGCTTCTAGACCTGCAGAAAAAAGACAAAAAAAACAAAGGGACACAAAAAAGGGACACAACAACAATGCAACAAGATCTACCTCTCACTGCGTCAACTTGATGAAAAGAAAAATATATATATATATAATCAACATTGCTTAACTGAAGAATCACGATAATAAATCACAACATATTAAGTGCCCACCATAGTCTTAAGACCTGTGTTTAACGTGCCCAAGCCCATACTTTTGAGAGCACCATGTGAGCACCTGTGTGTACACGCGCTTGTTTATGTAAGGTTTCTCTATAGGAGCGCCCAACAGAGAGTGTGAGGGACCACAGATCCGCCCCCCAAAGATGCGTAAGAGATGGAGGGAGCTCCAAGTCCCAGAGATCCAGGCGCTGCCCCAGAACACAGGAACCCCAAGGAGACTGCAACCAGAAAGGCCCCCGCCCCCCTCGAGAGGCACAGAGGATCGCCCCGGGGGGCCACAACCAGCAGCCGGCAGAGTCCCCGGAGATATCAGCGGCAAGCCCTCAGGCCCGCCCGCAGCCTCCCACCCCCTAGCCGGCCGAGCCCGGGACCCAGCGACCCGGGACCCAGGGGCGACCACCCCCGCCGGGGACCCAGCAGAGCTCAGGGACCCAGACCCCACCAGGCAGCCACCGGGATCTATCAGGCAGATGCCAAAATCTTTAAACCCCCAGACCCGGTTGCCACGAACACTCAGGCAGACCAAGGCACAAGCCCCCACACCAGGTGTGGCAGGGGGAGGGGGGACAGAGATCTATATCATCAAGAGAAGTTCCAGGAGAGGGGAGGACCCAAAGGCCCCACCTGACATTTACAGTCATACACAAACACAGTCACACACTCCCTCCCTCATGCTCACACATGCACATGCAACCCAAGACTTACAAAAATGCACGCCGGACACCCACTCATGCTCCCCAAACACACCCTATTCACTCTGGTCCCGGTACTGCTGCACATTGGGTACAACCATCACCGGTAACCAGAGTTTGACCCTTTCTGCTAGGGTGCTGATGAGCAGGCTCCCCCGCCCAACGCTGAGCACAGCAACCCACCACCCCAGACCCCAACCAGACGGCCAGATCTCCCTCCTAGCCTCCAGCCCCAGGAAGCCCAGCAACAACAGAGGTGGCTAAGACCCCTAGTCTCCCTCCGCCTGCTCCAATATAGTGTTGTGTTGTATGATTTTCTGCCTGTTGTGACCTGGCTGCACTGCTCAACTGTGTGGTAATTGGTCTGCTCTCATATGCAGCTGTGGTGACAGCCACTTAGGCCCTGTCCACACGTAGCCGGGTTTTTTTAAAAAACGAATATCTGCCCCTCCTAAAACTTGCATCCACACCACCTCGTTTAGAAAAAAAAACTGTCCACACGTACCCGTATAAATACGTTGTTAAGGACATGCCAGACCTGTAGGCGGCAGTACTTCCCCCATTCTTAACCTCGTCCTTCGTCTGTGGTCTTCCGCAAGGAGCAGTAATTCCGCTTGCAAAAACAAACAAGCAAAAAGCGCTTGGACAATTGATATAGCGAGCGCAGCTCTGAGGCTTCCATGCTGTCGGCTAGTGTAAACACAGGTCGCACACGTGATGTCAGCATTTTTTTGTTGCGGAAAGTGACGCTGCGGACCTTAAAACTCCGGTTTTGTCTGTCCACACACAGACACCCAAAACGGAGAAAACGCAGATCTTCACTTTGGCCGGAGTTTTTAAAAAGATCCGTTTTCGTGTGAAAAAACTCCGTTTTCGTGTGGATGACAGGCCAAAACGTAGAAAAATATCTACGTTTTGGCAGATCCCTGGCTACGTGTGGACAGGGCCTTAGTGACATGCAGATTTCTCATGGAAGAAAAAAATTCAAAGACTTTTTTCCAATATTTAAATCCAGAAGTTACAAAAGCTGGGTCTATGCTTTTGGCTTGTGTTGGTTTTTTGTAGTATTTAGAGCATTGGAAACACAGAACACAAAAATGTGTGTATTTTCTTTTCTTTTGTTGCAATTTAAATGTTGACCGCTAGTTGGCAGCGGTGTGCAGTGGGTTTTGTTTCCACCATTGACATTTATATCCCAGCTATTATGGTTCAGATACCTTATGTTAAACATGTTAAGTATTAGTTTGGACTGTTTATTGAACATTCCTGCAATAAATTCAGTCTGAAAAAATTGCTAATAATGTTTGACTGAATATTTCGCTATATATGGTGATACATTGTATCGTCTCCCCTACATTGATACGTGTTGTATCGCCAGAATTTCAGCAATAAACATCCCTACTGCTTGTTTACATCTCCCTCCACAACCAATGGAGCAGGTGTGAAATGAAGGGTGTTGCATAGCAGAGCGGGGGGAGGAGGGGTGGTTTCAAGGATCATTTTGACAGGGGGGGTGGGGGTGGGGGGGGGGCAAAGGTCCCTCTTGCCTGGGGTCCCCAAATGTCTTAAAACGGCCCTGCCTGAGGAACGCCTGCCACTGTGAAGAACCACAATAAGATGTTTGTTCTTTAATGTAAGCTAAATAAACACGTTCCTGCCCACATGTTACACAGAGAATAAGAAGGTTTGGACGTGTGGATAGCTGTCTTTACAGCTCATGGCCATTTTGCTTATTTTTTTTATTTCTGATGACCAGCAGCAGGATTTGCTGCTTTTGTGAACATTGAGTGGAAATCTTTATCTACAGGGGAAATAACAAATGCGTTATCAGTTAAGTTTATTAAACTTTTAACATGAATCTCTTGTTTGTTTGTTTCTTGTCGAAGTTTTTACTGTCAGCGCTTTTATTTATTCTCTCCTCTGGATTATCCCGGGCCGGGATCCACATGATTCAATCCGTTTGTAAGATCACGTGATGCGCAGACTCTGCGCAAGCATCTGCGCACTCTGATCACGTTACACTGATGCGGAAGCGAAACCAACCGCGCTGAACATTTCTTGCAGGGGTTCGGTTTAAGGTGGATCTGAGGCGGAGATGACGGAGAAAGGCGACTCCCCGGTGGCTCGGACGGTTCTGCAGCAGTGCCTGCAGGCCAGGCTGCAGGTGAGACCAGCGGAGGGGCAGTCTGACGCTCAGTTCGTCCAGGTGAGCTTCAGATCATCTGTTACACACGAGAAATACACGTTTGCCATCTCTGTGAATACATATGAAAGAAAGAAAAAAAGAAAGAAAAGTCTATAGCACCTCTCAAGATAAAAATCAGGAGGCGCATTAAATCAAAATATAAAATATGCTTTTAATGATTAAAAATATGGTTAGGAATAGAACAAAAAAATGAAATTGTGATTAAAAATGTAAGGAAAGGGAACGAGGGGAATCAGTGGATCCTGTGAAAGGCGGAGTTGGTAGAAAGAGCAGAACAAGATGAGGGAGGTGATGAAGGTCACACCAGAGCCTGAACAGATGAGTTTAAAGGAGACCACTGAGTCCACTGATCTCAGGTTTGGGGGGGGGGGGCGGGGGCTTCAGTGTCTGGGGCCACAGCAGCTGATGATCTTGGCACATAATCTGTAAACAACCACAATATGCTGTTTATAATTTTATGTAGAATAAACATCGTTTTGCTCTCATTGCAGGGCCGTGTTAAGGCTTTTTGGGGTCCAAGACAAAATGGACTTGGAGACCCACCGCCCAGAGCACTAAAAGGAACCACAGAATAGACAAATGGTTGCTGTTTGCCTCAGCTTTAGATCAATAAAAATACTTTTGGGAAAGTACAGATACTGTTTACAAATCTTGTATAATATTGCACTCTTGGTTATGTTTACATTTGAACATTTGCAAAAAGCAAATGCCACTTAGACACTAGCATCGGCTGCACTCCGCTCCGCCCCAGCTCGACCGTGATCGTTCCACACTGCCTCAGGAATGCGGATGTCATTGAGCACATGGGCGGTCTGTGGTCTTTGATGTCATGAGCGCATCTCCGAGCGTGTGGGAGGGACAAGACAGCACGGTGAAGTCTGTGGTGTTTCTATTATTAAACAAAAGCGGGCTGAGCCGTCTTGCTTTTGGAGAAAATGACTCTGACATCGCATCCTGCTTTGCTGTGTCTGGCAGCAGTGTGTGTGTGTGTGTGTGTGTGTGTGTGTGTGTGTGTGTGTGTGTGTGTGTGTGTGTGTGTGTGTGTGTGTGTGTGTGTGTGTGTGCTCCTCACAGCAGAGAGACAGAGAAAAACGGCCTTTAACTTCACACAATCTGGAATGATTCTGTCCACCAATCAGAGGCTCCCCCTAATGGTAGGCATGCTTTTGAGCCAGCCAATCAGTCAGCAGTGGGCGTGTCAGCCCTGTTCGGCTCCAGGCAGACCTCCTCGAGAAGAGGGCTGAAAAGACGTCCAGTTGCGAGCAGCAATCTCCCAACCCGGTCCAGGCGGAGTGGAGCTGGTGCTAGTGTGTAAGGGCCTAAACTCACCAACATCCTATAGTCGGCTTCAGTCCATACATCCATCTGCAACATGCCTCTCCCACATTCTTTAGGGCAGGTAGGTAGCGGCACATACTTATGACATCACTAACAATGACTTAGGCTATCTTAAAGAGACTACACAATCAAGGCTGTTTCGCCACCAAATGACACCATTTGTCTACATTTATTTCATAAACAGTCATTCTCTGGGGGACCCTGGCCAGCTCAGGGCCCAAGACAATTTCCTTGTTTGCCTGCTTTTTTGCAACGGGCCTGCCCACGTGTTTGCAGCGTGATTAATTATCATTTAATAAACATCAATACATACCAGTAATAAACATCAATAAAGTGCCTAAGGCTTGTAAGAAACTCATTTATCTTTTTGTTCTGAGTTCAGCTGTTGCTGGTAGATTTGTCCAATGGGTCTTTATGTCAGAATATCTAAAGTATAAAGCTAACAAGCCATGTACTGCACAATAAAACTGATCTCTGCATTTTCAACACTGCTGATGAAGACTTTAGTTGTTTTGTTTTTTTTATTCTGGTCTGAGGAGCATCTTAGAAACAGCATGCATCCCAGCACACACGCCTGTGTTTATTTGAACCTGTTTGACTTCCTGTTCCTCCTGACTCAGATCCACAGAGGAATGGTGATCTACATCTGCTTCTTTAGAGGCGCCACAGACGATGTTCTGCCTAAGATGGGTCAGAAACTTGCCGGTTTAATTTATGCAATCCCTCCCAATCTGTAAAACTCTTGACAGATTTCTTGCACTCTTCCCATTTCTCTCCAGTATCCACGCTGTTAAACCTTCGACTTTGTGAGTCCACCTCTGGAAAAATGGTTTCTGTGTCAGAGCTTCCCGGTAGCCTGCTGATTGTACCTCAGGCCACGCTGGGAGGGAGAAACAAAGGCAGGGCCATGCAGTACCACAACAACATCAACAAGGAGGAAGGGCTGAGGCTCTACAGCAAGTTTGTCTCTCTGTGTGAGAAGGAACTCGTGGCTGCAGCTGCTGCCTCGGCCACGAGCGGAGCCGAGGTGACGGTTAAACATGGAACATATGGAAATAGACAAGTGCTGCAGCTGGACACCAACGGACCGTACACTCATCTAATGGATTTCTGATTCGTCCTCCAGATGGAAAATGAATAGATGCTCATAAATCAGCAGATGGACTACTTTTGTAAATGTGGGTTTAAGTATTCATCCTGTGAAATAAACAAAAATAAAAGCGTTCTAATTTGTTGAATTCACTGAGGAACATTTGTCCTCCAGGACAGCAGAGGGCGCGTCGCGGCCATTTGGGTAGAAGAAGTAAGCAGCGCATTGTAAGCTTGGGTTACAGAAGCGTTCAAAACCTGCACGTTCCACAGTGAAGTGAGCGGTGCGTCGAACCAATGAGACTTCCGCTGAATAACTTATTTTTCAAAATTAAAAGCTTTTAAAATTAAAAACTAAATTGTTCGTTTGTGCTCTCTGTGTTATTTTTTTATTTATTTTTACGTTTTTCATAATTCATTATTAAAGTTTGGATATTCACTTTGATGTTTTAGCTAATGGTTGATCAATTATTTTCTTAAATGTTGTTTAAAGTGACGATTCTTTCACTTGTTTAAGTTGTTTTTCAAATCAGTCACACGAGACAAATTATATATTATATACTCGTAAAAATTAGCACTTCTTACAGTAAATTGTGGACTGAGATGTATATTTTCATACACAAATTAAAAAGTAACCTAAGATGGGTAGCGAATATCACATTTATTTTGAAAATTCTCTTACCGGAAGCACTCTCGCTACTGCTGCTACCTAAATTCTCCACAGAACCAAACGCTGCAATTCCCCGTTGTTTTGCTCTAATATGTCGTGCTTTGGAGAAAGTGTGTGCAGTTTTAGAGAAAGAGATATAATTGGGTTTCCTCTGTAACTTGTTCTGGTGAAAATTGGCGCCATTTGTCCAGGAGTTTGGCTCGGAGTTGGTCGTGGTGTTTCGGGGATTGTTGTTGACCGAACGGAAGACGTTCTAAGGTGGGAACGGATTCAGTCAGGAAACTTCAGTTTTTGGAAGCTGACGCAGTCATTGTGGTGTTTTAAAGAGGATTAACGGTCTGTGTGGATGCCTTCCAGAATATTCCATGACCGGATGTAAGGGTCGTCACTAGTTAGATTAGTTTCTCACTGAATCTAAAGCAGTAGGAGCGTCTCCACGTTGTGTTTGCAACAACTTTAAAGTGACAATGTGTCGTTTTTACCTTTGGTCTCTGGAAGCATCCATCAAAATGTTGTTGAAAGAATTATAAATGATCTGCACTTGTATCAGAGTTAGAGGACTCCAAAGCGCTTTACACTACAGTGCATCATTCACCCTTTCACACACACATTCACACTGGTGGTTATGAGCTACATTGTAGCCACAGCTGCCTTGGGGCGCACTGAAAGAGGCGCCACCGGGACCACCACCAACAGGCAAGGTGGGTTAAGTGTCTTGCCTAAGGACCCAACAGCAGCGCTCTGACGGGAGCTGGGATCGTAATTAAAAGATGCCCAGTTGTTGAAAAATATTATCGGCTTTGTAACATATAACCATAAAAATCTGGTCTAAAACACATGAGCGTGGGTCCAATCTCTGGGTGACGCCATTGCACTTCCGCTCTTCAATTGCACGATCCCAGCCAGGGTGTAGGGTGTCCCGATTCTCAAGTGCGCAAGTTAATCACACCGCTTTTGCACCCTTGATCTGCACTTCACCCAAGTCTGCTTTGATGCGACTTGGGTGAAGGGTATTACCCACAATCCATTGCTGCGGTAGGGAAGGCACTTGAGCCTTTTCTGAAAAAATGTATTTTCAAATTAAAGTAGTTCATTTAAAGACAATTAATTGATGCTCTGAATGTTTAGACAAAGCAGCAATGAATGTAAATTTATTTAAAAAAAACGTTTTGTTTGTTGAAAGTTGTTCATTAAGGTTGTGCACACTTACGTGCCACGCACTGCGCTCTTCCTCCAAGTGCACTTTACAGAAGACCGTAGGGCGAACTGTGAGTATTGGGATTGGACCAAAGTCTCTTGGTGACTCCATATTAGATGCCATGTTTCCTTCTACGGGAGCCCGTGATGACAAAAAGCATTTACTGATTTGTAACAAACCTTTAAAAAACGTTGTTTTACACATTTACCTCTTTGCTCATTGCCAGTGATGAAAGAGAATCCTCTATTGGGCCATTCCCATCTGTACCGGGTCGGCCCGGGCCGGGTAACGTAGGTTGTTTACATATCTGGGTGGCCTGGTATTTTTCCGGGCCGACCAAGGCTCATTCTCAGCCCTCTTCTCGAGGGGGTCTGCTTCAGGCCGACCAGGGCCAACACACCCACTGCTGACAGCAAATTCACACCTTCCATTAGAGCAAGCCTCTGATTGGTGGGTAGAATCAGCCCACATGGGCTTAAGGCAAGGATGTGTGGAATCAACCGGGCCAGGCTGGGGCCGTCTGGGGCTACCCGGCCCGGGCCGACCCGGTACAGATGGGAATGGCCCATCAGAAAGCAATGCCACCAATTTTCTGCAACGCCGTGGCGACATCAGGGTGCCTTGCGTCATTTCGAAGTGGTCAGACCGTGGCGGCAATGTGGCGCAATCATGTCCTTTTTACTAAAGATTACGCAATGTCAGTAAAAAGGGGGTATGGGGGCGGTCCCTGCGCTGCCTCGGACTTCCGTTTATCTTGGACATAACTTGATTTTGTTGCGATTGAAGCCGTGCTCATTAGGTTTTTTTTTAACAAACCACTCCTAAAGCCATCTGTCCTCATCAGTTCCTGTGCATTCTCCGGTGATCTGAGCTCCTGGAGCTCCGCATCGCTCCAGTTTATCTGTTTACAAAAGCAAAACGTTCTGCCTGTGTTTACTTCCATTTTAAGTATAGTTGCTGGCTGGAGCGCGGCAGTGACTTCCCACGTGATCGTGATCGTCTGTTGTGCCAAGGCTTAATATGCATTCTCAAGTGTGTTACTGTGGCAATATTACCGCCAAGCGTGGCTGCAAGAATCCAGCAAAATTCCCACAACGCCATGCCACCACGGCGCATTCGTAAGACACTGCGGCGGCAGGATTACGCTGACTTACCAGCGTGGTGCATGCTGGAGGTTATTCCCCCAGTGTTTTTTGACCCTAATTGCTATCTGTTGGTACAGTCTTACTCAAACACAAAAATACTGCATCCTTGCGATGATTTAGGTGTGCCCCCCCCCCCATTGCCAGGGAAAATACACATCGTCACTTAAAAAAAACAATATCAACCACTTAAATAATTCAAATGAAATGACGTGGGAGCCTTTCATCTCTTAAATCCACTCATACGATGAACCTTTCTGTAAATAGCGATGTTTCATCAGTGAGCCTAACAGGCCAGAAGTGGTCCTGCCTAACGTCAGTAACTAATGTTCCTCACCTCTTCCTCTACAGATGCCTTCCTTTGGGTTTCTGGATACTTTGGAGCTTTATTTACAGACGGGGAAGTTTCCTGTAAATGCATCAAAAAATGTGAAGAGAGGGATCAGAGCTGCCAGCAAGCGCTTCATGTACAAAGGTAAAGCAACCGCTGCACACGAGGAACGGTTTTAACGTGCCAGAGGCACATTCTGGTTCCTGTTACTGTGGCTGCAGAGCCAACGGCCAGGAGCCTCTGATTCACGCCACAAATCTCTTTAATCCTAATTCTTGGCTACGTATTTCAAGACAATCTGAGCGTTTTCATTTCTCTTCACTGGAGCTGTTGAATGGTTCATCCCCTAGATGGCTGTCTGTGGCGAAGTTATCGAAGTCGCCTCCTCCGAGTCGTCAGAAGCGAAAAGGAAGTTCGAGAGATCTTGACCCGTTACCATGACAACAACAACCACGCTGGGCGGGAGCGAGCAGTGAGGGAAATCATGGTGAGTGAAGATGATGGGAAGAAAGTTGGCGTGACGTTTGATGCAGACGCCCCTGTCGTGTCTGAACAGATGATGTACTACTGGTTCGGAGTGACGGAAGCCGTGAAGAACTGGGTCAAATCCTGCTCCGTTTGTCACGAACGAACACTTCCTCATTCATCCCAACAGTCTGTTTTCTTCTGCCTGGTTTATGGCTGCGACTCTTCCAGTTATGCTTTTCCTGAGCTCAGCTTCCACAGGTCAGACACTTGGAAAATTGGAAGCTGCAGTTGTAGACTTTTCCGGTTCACATGGAGTGTCTTGCTGCATCCTGCAGGTTTCCTAAAGATGTGGAGCTGCGGAAGAAGTGGCTGGAGGTGGCTCAGAGGGACGAGGGCTCTCTGCGTCCGTCCTCCTACATCTGCTCTCGACACTTCGACGCCTCCTGCTTCACACTGACTGAGGAGGGTCAGCTGACGTTGTCACCAGATGCTGTCCCCATCATCCTACCCACTACAGTGCATGGGGCAGAGGTGATTTATTATTCAATGGTTTTGGTCACAACACAACTCCTCCTCCAGCCAGGAAACGACCAGGGTCTCATTTATCAAGCTAGCTTACGCACAAAACGGGGTCGGAAAACTGCATAAGCAACTTTCCATGCAAACTTTGGGATTTATGAAAGAAAACGTAGCGGAAAAATGTTTGCAACTTTAAGTTGACTAAGGACCTGGCTTACGCACATGTTGGACATGGAGAGCACCTGCAGTGCTGCTGCTGAGAAGGATAAAATAATGAATTTCAGCAGCATTATCCCTTGTACAGCACGCACGCACACACACACACACACACGCACACACACACACACACACACACACACACACACACACAGCCTGAAGCACAGAATATGGAATGCTGAATATCAGCGGGGGGGCAGATTGAGACAGAACATCGTGCGTCTGTGACAGTGTAAGCATCCTCCGATTGATCATGCGCCCTGGCTACTTGAACAAGGGAGATCTCCGTTTGGCTGACTGGTTAGCGCGCGTGACTTTCACCCGGGAGTCTGGGGATCGAATCCTGATTGGATCTTTTTGTTTTTTATATCCGCCACAGATCTCTCTGAAGAACTCACAGCATTGACGGCTTCAGCAACGCTGCGCCACTCCGTGGATTTCATTATTTGTTTTGCAAAAGTACTTCCTTTCATTTCTCCACCTCACCCACAAGTACCTGAATTTCTGCTTTGGTGAAATAGCGCTTCCTTGATCTGCGGTCGGGATTGAAGTGCTGCAACAGCCGGCTTATGTATATGCATGAGATCCACAAGGCACTTTGCATTGACCATTTATGGCAGTAAGTGGGCGTGGTGAGGGCGGGATGTGACTAAAGAGCAGCTGAGAAACATTCTTGTTAGTCTCCGATTTATGAAGCGGCGATTGCGTGCAGCTGTGCGTACTCCATGTTTGATAGATCACAAACCTGCTTGGTATAAGTACATTTTTTTTGCTGAGCTTAAGTACGGTTTTAGTAAGGATTCTACGCAATGTTTGATAAATGAGACCCCTGATTAGTTAATCCTTATTGGTTTTCAGGTGCCTGAACAATCAGACGAGGACTTCCTTCATTCCAACTCGTGGAAGGATGAACTCACCCGAGCTGCCGTAGCTGCGGCTGCTAGAGCCATAGATCACAGTGATCCGCCCTGTGATCCTTTCGAAACAGCTGTGGGGCTGCTGGAGCACCAGTACTGCATCCCAGGTCCTGCTCCGGACTCCAGGGCCGCCAAGATGATGACTGTGGGCAAGAGGACGACATTAGTGGAGACTAGCTTTGTTACCTACAACCACATAGCCAAGTATGATCCCTCGACGGCTTCCAGCCCCGCCGTGGGGACGGCGGTTTGTAGTTTTACTGCATGACTTCTTCCTTCCACAGGTATCTGAGCACCAGGATGTTACCAATGCAGGGCAAGAAAAGCAGAACAGCTCTCAAACGGATGGCTAAACGCTTCGACCTAATAGGTGAGTGGAAGAGCCGCGTCCCTGCTCAGGTTAGACGTTTAACTGAACTCAAAAGTAAGATAAACCCTTCTTTTCTTTTTCAGACGGAGTACTGATGTACACTCGGGCCTCTCCACCTCTCCGGGTTCCACGCAGCAGAGAGGAAGTAACTATCGTCCTTACTCTTACGTCCACGTTAGAAGCAGCAGACATGCGGAGTCACCATCTTTAAAGAACGAATCACATTTTTGGCATTTTAGTTATTTAAAGTGTTAGTCGCCCTCTGGGTGGAGTCTTACTTCACCCACACTTCCTGTTTGAAAGAGGCATGTAAAGGAGCAGGGTTTCCCCCAGAAAACGAGTTAAGCCTGGCGGATTCAGCCGTCAGAGCGGGGGTGGGGGGTTGCACACGTTCCGCTGTTGTTTCTCACCAGCATCAGCTGATGGAGGACTCTAGTTTCGCTGCGCCGTTCGTGTCAGTGGGCACGGTAGGGTCGGGGAGGGGGGCGGGGCATGACGCATAGCCTGGCGGGTGGCCAAGAAAAGCCTGGCGGCCCTGAGGAGGCGTCACCTGGTAGACCGGCGCTGAGGCAGTGGTTGACCGAACCCCCCCACCTACCCACCCCCCACGCACTTCCAGAGTTTCTTAGTCAGAGAAACGAGCCGTTAACAAGCACACACGCGCACACCAACACACTCACTGCAGACCCACCGCTCAGTCGGACGAGCGAACACCAGCAGGCAGACGCAAGTGGCTCGGAGCCCAGTCGTTTCATATCGGCTCGTGAGAAGCCACGCCAGCTGGAGGCGTGGCCGAGACTCCGCTGGAGTCCGGCTCAGTGCAGCAGCGTAACACGGTTCAGTGTCCTCTGGCACCTCTTAGCCATCAGCTGTGGCTGATTCAAGATCCGTGTAGAGCACAGTTCTATCCTGAAGAGGGAGGAATAATTATGGTTTTACATTTTAAATTAAACATCCACTAAAGGGCCTAAATAATGGCTGCACGTGTCTACAGCACTATTCCACGCTTACAGGTTATCGGCAGAAAAAGTGGATTTTGGTGTTCCTCGCTTTTTCAAATTTGAATGTTATGTGGCTGCACTGTGCTGCCGAGTCCCGGCCACGCCTCCACTCCTGAGCCAGTACGTCCTCTGACCTTAAATAACAAACAGACGTAAAACTGGATCCATCACAAAGAGCTTAGGCCACCTCTCAGCGTCTCTCGTACACAAGTCTCAGAACAACAAGGCAAGCTGATGCTACAGTGGTGTGAAAAACTATTTGCCCCCTTCCTGATTTCTTATTCTTTTGCATGTTTGTCACACAAAATGTTTCTGATCATCAAACACATTTAACCGTTAGTCAAAGATAACACAAGTAAACACAAAATGCAGTTTTGAAATGATGGTTTTTATTATTTAGGGAGAGAACTAAATCCAAACCTACATTGCCCTGTGTGAAATAGTAATTGCCCCCTGAACCTAATAACTGGTTGGGCCTCCCTTAGCAGCAATAACTGCAATCAAGCGTTGGTGATAACTTGCTACGAGTCTTTTACAGCGCTCTGGAGGAATTTTGGCCCGCTCATCTTTGCAGAATTGTTGTAATTCAGCTTTATTTGAGGGTTTTCTAGCATGAACCACCTTTTTAAGGTCATGCCATAGCATCTCAGTAGGGTTCAGGTCAGGACTTTGACTAGGCCACTCCAAAGTCTTCATTTTGTTGTTCTTCAGCCATCCAGAGGTGGATTTGCTGGTGTGTTTTGGGTCATTGTCCTGCTGCAGCACCCAAGATGGCTTCAGCTTTAGTTGACGAACAGATGGCCGGACGTTCTCCTTCAGGATGTTTTGGTAGACAGTAGAATTCATGGTTCCATTTATCACAGCAAGCCTTCCAGTTCCTGCAGCAGCAAAACAACCCCAGACCATCACACTACCACCACCATGTTTTACTGTTGTATGATGTTCTTTGTCTGAAATGCTGTGTTACTTCTACGCCAGATGTAACGGGACATTTGCCTTCCATAAAGTTCTACTTTTGTCTCATCAGTCCACAAGGTCTTTTCCCAAAAGTCTTGGCAATCATTGAGATGTTTCTCAGCTAAATTGAGACGAGCCCTAATGTTCTTTTTGCTTAACAGTGGTTTGTGTCTTGGAAATCGGCCATGCAGGCCATTTTTGCCCAGTCTCTTCCTTATGGTGGAGTCGTGAACACCGACCTTAACTGAGACAAGTGAGGCCTGCAGTTCTTTAGAAGTTGTCCTGGGGTCTTCTGGGACCTCTCGGATTAGTTGTCTCTGCGCTCTTGGGGTAATTTTGGTCGGCCGCCCACTCCTGGGAAGGTTCACCACTGTTCCATGTTGTTGCCATTTGTGGATAATGGCTCTCACTGTGGTTCGCTGGAGTCCCAAAGCTTTAGAAATAGCTTTATAACCTTTACCAGACTGATAGATCTCAATTACTTTTGTTCTCATTTGTTCTTGAATTTCTTTGGATCTTGGCGTGATGTCTAGCTTTTGAGGTGCTTTTGGTCTACTTCTCTGTGTCAGGCAGCTCATATTTAAGTGATTTCTTGATTGAAACAGGTGTGGCAGTAATCAGGCTTGGGGGTGGCTACAGAAATTGAACTCAGGTGTGAAACACCACAGTTGGGTTATTTTTTAACAAGGGGGGCAATTACTATTTCACCCAGGGCAATGTAGGTTTGGATTTAGTTCTCTCCCTAAATAATAAAAACCATCATTTCAAAACTGCATTTTGTGTTTACTTGTGTTATCTTTGACTAACGGTTAAATGTGTTTGATGATCAGAAACATTTTGTGTGACAAACATGCAAAAGAATAAGAAATCAGGAAGGGGCAAATAGTTTTTCACACCACTGTAGATATCAGGTAGTTGAGAGACTTTAGTGAGGGACTCTCGGCTACTAAAACACTCCATGCTGTCGTTCTTTTTTAAAACACAGAAACGGTTCCGTTACCTGTTTTGTCGCTACGTTTCGTCTACGAAACGCAGCGACAAAACAGGTAACGGAACCGTTTCTGTGTTTTAAAAAAGAACGACAGCATGGAATTAGAACCAAGACACAGCAAGAACACACCTAAGATACTAAAACACTCGTTTTAATATCTGTAAAGCTGACAGCCATCTTTGCTAGCATTGATTAGCTTTGGTGGAATGGGTCGACTCCAACACAGGTATGACTCTTAGCCGCTGTGACACCAAATATTAGCCTATTGTCCGTAAACCTGTGTACCAATTTTATTTTATTTATAAAGCACTTTTAAAAACGGCGTGGCAGCCGACGTGTGTAAACTTGTCCTGTTGTGTTAGTTAAAATAACCCGGACTAGGAAAACAAACATTCCTGGTTACAGAAATACACATTTTGTTGTTTTGGTCTAACCAGCTTTGCTGTGCCTCATCTCCAGGTGAACTCCATCCTGCAGCAGTTCCATGACAACCAGGGTCACTACGGACAGGGAATCTGCCAGAGAGAAATCGCGAAGCACTTCTACTGGGGCAATCTGAGCCGAGACCTGGCCAGCTGGATCTCCAGCTGCCAAACCTGCCTCAACAGAACCAAGAGGAAGATGCTTCGCTGCAGCATCTCCAAGTGCACCAACCGCTGTGGGCCGGTGGAGAGGAAACTGGGCCTCACCTTCCATAAGTGAGAGTCCAACTCAAAAGGAAAACATCTTTATTGAAATTTAGATTTGATTATTTCTTCTAAGGATTTCTTTTGTGGTGCTTTTTCTTCAGGGGTGACAAGTTTGTGCTTAAACACTTTTATTCACATAATAGACGATAATAATTTAATATTAGTAGCAGTTTTGCTTGCTTTTAGCACCCTCTAGTGTTTCTCTGTGGTCATCTCCTCGCTGTGCGTTTGTCTTTTTAACACCTTAATCTAACTAAAGGGGTGATTCATCACTAAATTAAACAAATCAGCTGTGTTCATGATGTAAAAGATGCAGGAAACGTGCTGGAAGCAGACTGCAGCGCCAACATGTCCGCTCCACGCCACCCCACAGTGGTGGGGTCTGAGAGGCGTTTCATTAACACTGTTAAGGCTCACTTTAGCACATACTGGCTCCAGAAAATGATTTTACAACATGAAAAAGTTGCATAGCATCCCTTTAAGGCAATAATGTTAAAGACCAAGTTCACTGAGAAACCGTTGTCTTTGTTATTCATAAACATGATTGGTAGTCAGAGTTTCACATGCAGGCTGAACATGAAAATAGTCTTCTACACCAAAATTAGCTGCCGATAGAAAACAGTCGAGGAAGCACTTGAATTCAAAAATCCAGACAGATCTACGTCACCCTGTCACTAACATTCATGCACTCACCCGTCCTGGCTCACGACGGGGAAGGCTGTTGTTGGTTTAGCAACCAGGAAACGGCAGAGAACGTCTCGGCTAGTAGAAGCTAACCGTTAGCATTAGCAACTCCACTACATGGCAGAACTCCTTTAGGTTTGTGTTTATGTTTATGTATTTAGCAGACGCTTTTGTCCAAAGCGACTTACAAGTGATAATCGGCATTTTGCCCTTGAGGCTAACAACAACAACAATAACAACAACAACATTGACATCAGTCTGGGAGAGGAGGGAACAAGGAGTGGACAGCAGAGAGGGGGACGGGTGCAGGGAGGGTGCTAGTTTAGAAGATGCTCTCTGAAGAGCAGGGTCTTCAGGAGTTTCTTGAAAATTGAAAAGGAAGCCCCTGTTCTGGTAGTGCTTGGTAGGTCATTCCACATTTGTGGAACGATGCATGAGAAGAGTCTGGATTGTCCTGAGCGTGGTGTAGGCACTGCTAGCCGACGATCCTGTGATGACTGGAGCGGCCGGGCCGAGACGCAAGCCTTTGCAAGAGGATTCAGGTAGATGGGAGCCGTACCGTCTCGGACATTGTATGCTAGTGTTAGCAATTTGAATTTGATGCGTGCTGCTAGCGGTAGCCAGTGGAGCTCAATGAACAGAGGCTAGGCTACAAGTTATTTGTGGAGATAAAACGTGAACGTTGCAAAGCACGATGTTGTTAGCCAATCAGAGGCGAGTAGGGGTGCAAGAATATCCAAATCTCATGGTACGATATTTATTGTCGGGAGGCTCATGATACTGTGGCTATGCTCACAATAACAAGACTCACAACATAAAATACTTAGACTGGTCATCAGTACATTTGTCGTTAGCTTTATAATCATTATGACCGTTTGAACAGCCTGAAAATCCATCAACGGGTAACAACTCGGTATAGTTTATTTAGAACAGAATTGGCAACACAGATACGCAATTACCCGCCAAAGTAAAGGCATTTTTTAAACAGCCCATTCAATAAGTTAAAGTACCCAGGCACTAAAAGTACCAGGCTGTGTGGGCGGCACGCATTCCCATCGGTGAACTGGCCGATGACACGGAAGCAAAGGATCATGGTCTATGTAGTTTACTTTGCTCCTGTGGAGCATACTGAAAAGTGTCATGTTTACCTCTAGACGTGCTGTACAATATCATGACAAGACCACGACGATATTGTGGCCATTTTACTACGGCGATATCGCGATGTTGCCAGTATTGTTACAGCCTTAGAGGTGAGATATCCAAGTATCAGGAAATAAAACTCCAAATCCCGCCGTTGTGTGCTCCCCTCCGACTGTCTTCTACCTCCTGAAACAGGAGCTCCAGAGCTTTTTCCCCACAGAGGTAATCTCACAACACATTCTTTTGTACCATAAAAACCTGCCGGTGTGCTGAAAATTGAGTAAACTTAGTCGTAAAACATTTGATTCAAACATTCTTGTATTTCATCGAATCTTTTCACTTGAAAGTTTCCTTCTTTGCTTTCAGCTGAGTTACGGTCAGCCCTCTCTCTCTCTCTCTCTGCCTGAAGGTTTCCTCTTCACAACCTGCCCGTGCTGGCTCAGTGGATGAAGGCCGTGGGACGCGTTCACTGGCATCCTCGTCTCTGGTCGTCCATTTGTTCCACCCACTTCACAGAGGATTGTTTTGACCGCAGCGGGGATAAGGTCATCCTGCATCCGGATTCGGTGCCTACGCTCAACATCCACGGTGACTCGGTGGTGAGTCGGGGTTAGGGTTAGCCGTAACAAGAGCGTTGTACCAACTGGACTGTAAGCAAGCATGTCTTTCCTCCACAGACTCCAGCCGTAGCTACGGCCCAGCAGCCACTCGGGGAGGAGGTATGTTGAAGACTTGTGGTTTGGGAATTTTAATCCTGGTGGCACCAGTTTCATGTTTCTACTTCTGTGAGAGCAGGCATTTTTCGCCAAATATGATGCAGTGGAGCTTTATATCAGCCGGCGCACCTACCCTCCTGGACTCACCTACGTGGAGAAGAACACGTTCAGGAGGTTCTGCAAGAAATACGCCATCATAGGTTAGCATCATGCCATTGTTCACGGAAACCGTGCAGGTTGTTTCTGCAGCACCGGCCAGCTGTTGGTGACATGATAATAAAAACGATCCTAACCGTAATATCAGGATAAGCAATATTCTACAAGTACGTGTTCTCCTTGGCTCTTTATTTGAAGTAAGTTTAGGGATGTAACCCTCATCTGTAGCGCCTCACAGTTCAGAGTAAGTATTGCAGCTAAGGGGGCCCACAAGCATCAAAAAGACTGCAGGGGAGAGGGAGACACTGTAGCACTGACACCTACTTTAGGGGGTCACATATCATTCCAGTTTGTGTATCACATGTCCAGCAGTGACAGCCTGCCTCTGCACCTTGTCTGCTCCCCTCAACTCAGTTCGTTGATAAAGCGCCAATTCACAACCAGAGTCGTCTGAAGGCACAAAGCAAACGTTCCAGTAGAACCTACTCGTCAGCGCACTGAGATCAGTTCATTATTCCAGTCTGTGAACCACAAAACTCAGCACATGGCGTGGAATCACTGGGTGTTTCTCAATGCCAAGGAACCTCGCCTTGATGTCTTGGCCCCGCTCCGGTTGCCTAGGAGATACGTCATCGGGAACAGCCAAGACGTGTTCCAATGTTCATGTTCTACCGAGGCGTGTGTTCTCCGTTTGTTAGCCGTTTAGCTAGCTGAGCGAGGATACACGGGAGGTGTCTTGTAGCCTACCCTTGGTCAAAAATTACCCAGAATACACCGCGGTGTTTTCACAAGGATGGCGGATCAGAAGCCGGCAGCTACCTCGGGGACAATTTTCAAGTTTAAAAGTAAGTCAACTAATTTAAAATGTTTATTTAGATCCAAAGAAGTTATTTATGGTTGGTTAGTTGCTTATTAGTTGCAGTTTCTGTGGCTAGCGGGTAGTAACTCAGTAATATTTTTAATTTAATAAACATATACACAATTTAAATAGTAAAAGTCTTGTTATATATTTATATTGAAACTAATACGTATAAAATATAACGTTACCTCTCGTGTCACGTGATACGTGACTGTCGTGGAAGCCGCGGTCACGTGATGCAAGTCTGTTCCATTTAACCGTTTTCTTTGGCCAAAGGAAGGACAGTGTCCTCGTAAGCAGTGTTGGGCGAGTTACTTCAAAACTGTAATGCATTATTTATTACTTGTTACCCTCATTTTAAAGTAATTCATTACATTACAATATTACTGATTTTAAAATGTAAGGCATTACACTACTTTTGCATTACTTTAAGTTACTTTCACCAGAACAACTTCAATATGGATCTGGTCATGTGACGCTCAGTGAGCTCATGACATATATGTGGAAGGTGATGTGGTGTCTGAGCTAGGATTGCTGTTAAAAACAGTCAGATATAATAACAGTGCTTCAAAATGGTTGTTTATTAAATAAAAGCAACAACAATCTGTACTCTCAGCACGCTGCCATCTTATATTAACTGAGCAGGGAGTGGGGTGGTGGGGGCTCCAAGCCTATATTTGCCTTGGTCCCCAAATGCCTTGATACGGCCCTGGATGTGGGACTGACTTCTGGGGTGATCTGATTCTATCACATGTATAAATATTAAATGCTTATATATTATTGCTTTTCACTGGTAAAAATGTGTGTTGGGGATAAATCTACCTATTTTTTTTCTTTTCAAGCACTTTGTTTTGTTTTCTTGATTTTATTTGAATAATTTCCTGCCCTTTCTCTCTCTAACCTTCCTGCATGCTGCATGTTTTCTCCGTCTTCCAGAAAAACTGTTTCCTAGATTTCCTACTTTCTAACTAATCAGCCAAAGGGATCTACCGAACGCAAAAAAAAAATAAATAAATAAAAGCTTAATATGCGCTGCGCTCCAGCAGCGATGAGTTGAAACCACCGGGACACAGATTATGAACTCAGCTGAAAAGTACATGACGTACCAGAGAATATGGGCTGATATAAACGATCGCAGGTGAATTACTTTGTTTTGGTGGAGCGATTTTGTGAATATAACAGTGGCCGCATGCAGGAAGCAGCTGGAGTATCTGAGCCATCACCGCTGTGTCCTCTCTGCTCATAGAATGCCCTCAACGCTGAGTCCATAAATGACGTCATATATGTAGATACTGGATCTTTTTTCAGGCTTCCCGCAATTAGAATTTTTAGGAAACCCACATCTTGATTCTGGGTTTAAAAATGCATTGTAATTACCGCGTTACTGACAATTGTACCGAGTAAATATTACCATTTTCTTTCCCTGTAATGCCTTATATTACCACATTACAGCAAAAAGCAATGCATTACAGTAATTAATTACTTTTGTACCGCGTTACTCCCAACACTGCTCGTAAGCAAGGCACCTTGACATTGAGAAACACCCACTGACTTTTGTGTCTGACTTAACAGCAATCCTTCAATCAATCAAAGCTTTATTTATAAAGCACCTTCCGCGACCCTGTCGGGAAGCCCAAGGCGCTGAACATGGTACATTTTCCTTCTACTCAGCAAGCATGTAGCGACGGTGGAGAGGAAAGTTCCCCTTTAACAGGACCTGGCTCAGTAGGAGCAGTCATCCGCCTCGACTCACTGGGTGTTTGAGAAGACAGCAGACACACAAACATGGACAGATGAACTAGTAGAAGTAGTTTCTATGTTAAAGAAAGTAAACAGTTAGTAGTGGGAGTCATTCCTGGACTTTCTGTCTCAGACGAGTCTTGACCAAAAGCTCGTTCCACAGAAACAAGATGTAAAATGTTTGCAGCTTTGAAAATGAGGTAAACATCAGAGCACACAAAATAACAATAACAATATTTAGCTGTAGAAACAGTAGCAGCCTGGGCATCTTTTGGGATGCTAAAGCAAAAATGTGACTATAATCCAGAAGTAAACAGCGTAAGATAAAAAAAAAGCTTAAAGCCTAGTCTGCCTTTCTGCGTCAGCTCCACAAGGGAGGGACGCGTGGACAGAGTCGTTTTGCTCTCCAACTTCTCCGTCTCCTGGGGGGGTTTCAAAGCAGTTCCTCGCCAGAACAACAGAGGGCGTAGCGCTGTTCTGGGGTATCCAGTCCAGGATATTGTGTTTTTTGTACTTCAGATACTTTTTAACACGAACACATTTGTCCTTCATTCTCTTCCACCTCTTCGTGCACTCTCCACCTCTAAACCCACGTGTCCCGTCGTTTCCGTCCACTAATAAAACGCTTGCTGCGTGTCTTTTCACTCCTCCAGTCACAAGTGAATAAAACATTCATATCTTTAGAGTTTTTCCTCGAGGTATTCGTCAGTCTGCTGCTAGACATCTTTGGCCTCCTTTGTTTTTGAGGGCGCAGTGGCAGTGCTGTTGATGAAAGCGGCGTCCTGACCAATCACAAGCGTGCATTTTCCGTCTCGTTGGGACGGATGTTTAGAAAAGTGGGCTGGACCAGATAATGGCGTTGCATGTCTCCGTACTGACGCAGACGCATGAATTAGGCTTCAGTCCAAAGAGGTTGTGTCGTTTAAATGTAAAGATGATCACTGTTCTCATTTCACCGTTAGGTTCTCTTCCAGTTGTCTTTGCTTTGAACTTGTTGACTTGTGGTTTTAGTTCAAAAGTAACGAGACAGAATGGAGGCTGTGCAGCTTCTCCTGAGTGAACTCCTGCTTCTTCTACAGATGGCAGCCTTCACTTTGTGAGTGGAGAGAGAGTGCGTTTGGTTCTGAGGAACCGGCAGCAGATCGACGACGCCCTCGTGGACTTCCACGACGAGCTGAACCACCTCAGCGTCAACAAGTGTCTTCGACTGCTCAACGAGAGGTTTTCTTTCTGCTCCCCTGTTCCTTTTACATCGTCTCATCGTGCAGCTTAAACTGGAGTCTGATCTGCGGCAGGTACTTCTGGAAAACCATGAAATACGATGTGATGCAGTGGATCAACAACTGTTCCCAGTGCAGCCTGAAGATGATAAAGAAGCCAAGTCATCGAGAGCAGGCTGAGCAGTCGGACATCCTGCTGCAGGCACTCGCCTCTCCGGATCGGGACTCAGACAGGTGTGTTCGTCAGCTTTTAAAAATATTTCAAACTTTCTGTTTTCAGTTGTTTCCTGTTCAAAATGAACATACATTTGTTACTAATGGACAAAGCCCGTCCTGTCTCCTGCGGTTAACGTGTAAATGTTGAACGCTGGAGTCGCTTTTACATCCTGGAGACGGGAGCTGCTGTAGGACAGCAGGACTCAGACTAGCTGTTAGCTTATTGGTCCTTTTGGACGTATCTGTTCCTTTAAACCAAGGCCGTTCAGGAAGCCATCTACGAGTATGCTTAGTGAGGCTCTGTTCACACCCGACGTCATCTGGGAAGGAGGAAAAGGATGAGGGGAAGTCAGAATTATTAGTTAACGTCGTGTTTAGCCCGAGGAGTTTAGCAGCAAAATCCACTCCCCAAATGTCAATAAACATCGTCAAGCTGCACCTCTGAAAATACTGCAGAGCCTAAGCTACACGACCATGCAAACCTTTTTTTACGTTCCCTAAACACAACTAAAACTACAGTGGAATGAGTGATCAGAAATCCTTCTTCGTGTTTTTGCCACTTTTCTGTCTGACGCTGCTACCAATCTGATTGTACACGGGTTCTGTCCCCCATGTGAAGCTGTGGCCCTGCTGATTCTAAACACGCATCTCCCAACACTCCACCCACGTTTCACAGAGAGCAGCAAAGACAGACATTGTTTTTTTTTTCCCGGATCTCAAAAACCTTTCTTACCTTTGACGTTTCGCCTTGAAACGTTTGTTTTATTCAGCCTTTGTTGTTGTTTACTACTACGCTACATCTTGTGTCACTCTGAAAATAGTTTCTGTAATAACGCTTTATTCTGTTGTCCCGCATGATCCAAAAGTTGTCAGTCATCGGAACGGGCCAATCACTCAGGGACATAGAAGGCTGTAACGCGCCGCTCCAGCCTATAGCAGCAGCGTCGTTTATGCATGTCATGAAGCCGTAGATCAAAACTACTGAATGATTTACAGTGTTAACAAAGATGGCTGAAACTATTGTTGTTACAGTTGGCACAGATGGAGCCACATTGTGCCATTAGAGATCTCGCCTGAAGTGTCTGTACATAAACCTCTGTAAAATATATTATAAATCCAGGTAAGCTGATACGACTCAACCGATTACATCAAAATGTTTGAGCTAATGAAACTCAAAAATAGTTGAAAAACACTTTATTAAGTTGTTTTAGATTGATATTTTTAAGTAAAGTGAATATATTTTTTTAAGTTAAGTTCATATGTTTTTTCTGGACATTCCCTACTTCTCATTCTTAGTTTATAGTACTACTAGTCTAAATCAAGTATAAATACTTGAGATTTTTAACTACATACTTTTTTAAAACCTGTTTTAGCCTGTATTTGTTTTTATTGTTGTTATGGTATCTGTTATGTTTCTTTTTAGTGTTCAGCACTTTGGTCAATCTTTGTGTTGTTTTAAAATGCTTTATACATAAATTGCTTGCTTGCTTACACTGATAACCCAAAAGGCAGCGTGGCAGGCAGGTGAAGGGTGAAGGCAGTAGCTAACACCAACACTGCACGCCTCACACGCCCATAGCTGCTGACCGTGTGCGAAAGTGGAACACACGAAGCCAAGTCCAGAGAATCAGGTGTGAACCACCAAATCATTAATAGCAGTGGAACAGCAAACGTGGTCATTCCCTTGATCAACCTCCCTACTTATCAGGGATGTTATAAAATATCAGTAGGGCAATATATTGTGATATTTATCCCAGCGATATTATATTGATATTCAAAAGCCATGTATTAGTCAGTCACCTCATGTTCAGCATGTTACGTATCTGTTTGGACTGTTTATTGACTTTTCCTACATTATTTCAGTCTAAGAAATTGCTAAGATTGTCTAGTTCAGTGGTTCCCAACCTTTTTCCGAAGGGACCCCTTTTTTACCAGTAAAATTTTTGACGACCCCCTCCCATTCTCTCTTCCAGTACAAACATTATTAAGAAATGATAAAATTGTTCAAGCACATTTTAATATGCTTTGATTCAATAGATAACAGTAATAGTAGGCTCCAGTACAGAACAAAGTCATTAACAAAACCAAACGGAGCATAATGTGCTTGACAGTTTGTATTACTTTTCTGAACACATTGTTTCTTGTAAACACTGATAAATCAATCATTCCTTTCAATAAATGTTTGACACATAAAAAATACACTGAGCAAAATGTACTTAAATGTGTATATTACTGTTTATACTAGATTATTTACTGTAAAGGCTGTGATTAATCAACCAGTCCTATCTTTAATGAAACTTTTGACACTTGAAAATAAAACAGTGAGCTGAGCAAAATGTTCTTAAAAGTGTGTTACTCTTTCTGTACTAATTATTTCCTGTCTTAATATCAGTAAACTTTTCACTCATGAAAAAAAATGTGAGCAAAATGTAGGCTATAAACAAGTAATAAATGAAGTTTTAACCCCTTAAAGTGGAGAGGTCCTGGCGACCCACTGAGAGGCTTTGGCGCCCCCTTGTGGGGGGCGGGACCCCCAGGTTACGAACAACTGGTCTAGTTGAATATAGGATGATATATTTTATCATCTCCCCTGCATTGTGATACATATTGTGTCACCAGAATTTCACTAACATCTCTTTCACTTATTGTGCCAACATGACTGTTAGTCTTATTACCATGTTTACATATATTCTTAAAAACATTTGCACCTTTGTGTGTGTGTGTGACCTCTATTATATCCTTATTCTGCTTTACTACCTCCTTTGTATGAGCTGTCTTTAATGAGTGCAAAGTCAGTTTCGTTGTACGATGACAATAAAAACAAGGGACACCACATTTGCAAAACTCAACAAAGTGATAACTAAGAACCCCCCCCCCCATAAACATGCATAAACACCCCTAAATAGAACCAAATAACTAAAGACATGACTACGCACATTGCACCTCGCCCACCAGTTCTTTATTGTTCCTGAAATCGCCCTTAGTTGTTTTCTCTGCAGATTCACAAATATTTGAAAAAAATATATGTCTGTTTTGTCAGACACACTTTAAGTTGACGTAAAGATGACTAGAATAATATAGAAACATAAAATAATAAAAGAAATTGTTTAGATTAATTAAAAAGTTTGAGTTAAAGTACTTAAAAGAAGGAAAAGGCTGAACTAACTCAACACATTTGAGTTCTAAAAACTATTGTAAAATTATGAGTTTTACCTACTTAAAATATTTGATTACTTTCAACAGTTCTTCACTTTATCAAATTCAAACTTGGTGCAGCTAATGTCAGCATGGAAAATTATTTTATTGAGGTTTGAAGCTACTGCTGCCTTTTTCCAAGAGGTATTCATCCTGTCACCAAATCTTTTTCAGGCAGCAAAGAAAGAAAGAATGTTTTTTTACAATGTTCCACATCCATTTACACTTAATCCATGACATGTATACTAATATTTACACATCTCAACAAATCCCAGAAGTCTTCCATTTAAAATGAGACTAAAGGTCATCAAGTAGACCTTGTGGTTACAGAAATATTCTCTTTAAAGTGTTGGCATGTAATTTTCCAGCAGCTTTCTTAAATGTGAGTTTTTTGCATTTTGAATTTAAAAGTGCAAAACACTGTTAGTGATCGGATTATAGCTCAAGTGACATGAACGCCAAAATCGACGGAATTTTTCATTGTTCATTTGCACCTTTATTTTTATCTGGCCTAAAAAAAATTTTTACCTAAAATTTCTTAAATGTCGTTCACCATTGTTGGGTATGAGGGCCACAAACGGCCTTTGAGCTGCAAGAATTTAAGTCAAATTGAACTTTTGATCATTATAAGATAAACGCAAAGCAAAAATAAAAGAGTTAAAAAAGAAAAAGTAGTTTCCTTGTGACTGTAAGAGGGAAACCTGTCAAGCCCAAAACGGCCAGGTGACTCGGACACCTGAACAAAAGCTCTTAGCTCAGTAACTAGTGGCTTTTTTCATAAAATGTCCCATTTAAATAAAACCAGGGGTCTCATTTATCAAACATGGCGTAGAATCCTTACTAAAACCGTACTTAAGCTCAGTAATAAAAATGTACTTACGCCGAGCAGGTTTGTGATCTATCAAACATGGAGTACACACAGTTGCACGCAATCTCAGCTTCATAAATCAGAGACTAACGAGAATGGTTCTCAGCTGCTCTTTAGTCACATCCCGCCCTCACCACGCCCACTTACTGCCATAAATAGTCAATGCAAAGTGCCTTGTGGACCTCATGCATATACATAAGCCGGCTGTTGCAGCGCTCCGCCAATGGCATGGCGACCGTAGATCAAGGCAGATCAAGGAAGCGCTATTTCACACAAGCAGACGTTGAGGTACCTGTGGGTGAGGTGGAGAAATGAAAGGAAGTGCTTTTGCAAAACAAATAAGAGAAAATCCACAGAGTGGTACAGCGTTGCTGAAGCCGTCAATGCTGAACTCTTCGGAGAGATCTGTGGCGGGTATAAAAAATGGTCCAATCAGGATTCAATCCCCAGACTCCCGGGTGAAAGTCACGCGCTCCAACCAGTCACCCAAACTGAGATCTCCCTTGTCCAAGTAGCCAGGGCGCATGATCAATCGGGTCACAGTGACAGGACACACACACTGTCACAGACGCATGATGTTCTGTCTCAAATCTGTCCCCCTGCTGATATTCTGCATCCCGTATTCTGCGCTTCAGGCTGTGTGTGTGTGTGTGTGTGCGCGCGCGCATGTGAGTGTGCGTGTGGGAGTCTTGTTCTGTGTGAAAACGAAGCAGTACAAGTGATAATACTGCAGGATTTCATTATTTTATCCTTCTCAGCAGCAGCACTGCAGGTGCTCTCCATGTCTTAAATGTGCGTAAGCCAGGTCCTTAGTCAACTTAAAGTTGCGCACATTTTTCCGATAAGTTTTCTTTCATAAATCCCAAAGTTTGAGTGGAAAGTTGCTTACGCAGTTTTCCGACCCCATTATGTGCGTAAGCTTGTTAAATGAGGCTCTTGATCATTTAAAACAACAACCTTCTGTATCTGTGTCTGTTGCAGCGGGAGGGATGAGAACAGTGAGTATGCTTGTGATGATGATGACGACGACAATGATGATGGTGACCATGATGGGAGAGGAGACGGTGACATCGAGGAGGAGCAAATATTGGAGTCGGTGGATGCAATAGTGAGTAGTTTCCTCCGTCCAGCTGATTTCTGAACATCTGCAGCTCGGTGCAACACTTTCTCTCCTCCTGGTGAACATCCTGGAGCATTTATCGCCTAAAGACTCAGATTTACGTCTTAATCAGAAACAGGATTGTTGATGTGGCTAGAAAATGGCTCAAAATGATGGATGATGTTATCACATTGCTGCAGGATGTGTAGATAATCAGGGCTTGTGGTGTGAAGTTACGTTTACATAAACTGCTAAACCCGGCTGTGGCCTTTCAGCGTGGAGTTGCGTGTTCTCCCCATGCATGCGTGGGTTTCCTCTGGGTTCTCCGGTTTCCCCCACAGATCACAACACGCCCTGCAGGTTAACAACTGTACGCCACTTTGGATAAAAGCGTCTGCCAAATAAACAAACATAAGTCTGAGACTCAGCTTAACAACAGATGTTGTTGCCTTCGTTGGGATCTCCTTCCATGCAAGAGCAAAAGATTTTAATTTCATTTGAGAAATGAGAGAAATTAGCTTTCTGAGCAGCCTTAGTTTGGAGAAATAGTTGTAGTCCTACTGGACCAGAGGTTCTGCAAGAAATACGCCATCAAAGGTTTAGGGCCAGTCTGAGTGCAGCTAAGACTAACGTGGCTGTTTGTCTCCCAGGAGTCGTCTCTACCCCCGTTGTCCTCACAGACGACGTCTCCCACCAGTCCTCAGCCCCGCATTCCAATCCTGATTCACCTGAGAACTCCCAACAACCTTCAGCCCAGAACTTCTGTCATCCTGCAGCCCAAGAGCCCCAGCCCGCCCCTTATGACGCAGATCTGGTCTGTCAACATGGCCGCCCCTGGACAGTCTGAAGTGTCAAACAGCTCTGAGAGTCTGCCCGGCGATCCGCTTCAGGGAATACCTCCGCCAAAGAAGAAGTCCAAGCACCCGGAAGAACAGAATGGAACCGGCAGCTCTAAGAGCAGTGCCAGGACGCATCAGGCCATCCAAGCTCAGGGTACCACCATACCTGTCACAGAGCCACGCCCCCCACCTCGTACAACAAAGATCGTAAAAGCAACAGAACCTCGGCGCCAGCGCAGCAGCAAGAAGCCTGGGAGGAGAAAGACGGTGGCTGACCCTTCAGATGAGGGGAGCTCCAGCTGTGGTCTGGAGCCAGTGGTGGCCCCCAGTAGTAAGCCCTGGCCTGTCTTCACCATCGCTAACTCTGGTCCTGGACAAGCAGCACAGCCCGTCGCTGAAGATGACAGGTAGAACGGTGCAGCGTTGGACGCATTTACACTGGTCAGCTCGCTCGGGCCCTGGTGGGGTACTGACACGTGTCGCTTAGGAATGACGCCACACCGCTTCAGCAGAGCCCGCCCATGTCCTCGCCCACGTCTGCATTCCTGATAAGGCCCCGTGGGGGGGCGGGGGGCCCAGACCGAGCTGACCATAGTGTAAATGAGCCAATATCAAACATGGATGCTTCCCAAGTCTCATTAGGATGTTTGTGGCGTGTGTGTCTACCCAGCACGCCTCTGCTGCAGAGGTCCAAGCAGCTTCAGGCCCGAATCGTAATCCAGCAGTGCAGCCATGCAAAGGTCAAGGTCAGACCGGCATTAGATGGTGCCGAGTCCGAGTGGGCCGAGGTGAGCATGCTTTTTGTTTCTCACCAATCATCTACGCAGCATTGTGATCGTGCACAGGGATGCGGAGGGTTGACTTTAGGAGCCCGACGCCAAAGTTTTGCACGGACTGAGATCACGTGTGGTGCTACTTGTACAATCCTAGCTCCTCATGTGTTGGTGTCCTGGAGGGTCGTCCCGTCTCATCATCTCGCTCTCTGATAACCTCCTGAGCTTCTGTTTGTGTAACATATTTTATTATGTAATGAATCTGGGACTTGCAGTATTGATATCTCTCACTAGTGGCCAGTAGACGAGTTTGATCCAGCAGGTGGTTAAAGAGCTAGTGGGAACTTAAACTAGTCCTTTGTCTGGTTTGATGCTGTGGGACATGTCAGGACTAGTCTCAGTGCTGTGTGATCATGTGTGTGTCCTCAGATCCAGCAGGGGATGGTCGTGTATGTGTGCTTCCTCCAGGGAGTCACTGTGGAGGTCATTTATGAGATCGGTGAGTTTCTCCACTGAGAGGGTTATTTTCAGGGTTGGGAGTAACGCTGTTTAAATATAACGGCATTCTTTTTTGGGTAATGGAATAATCTAATTAATTACTTTTCCCGCCGTTGCAACGCCGTTACCGTTACTGGGGACGGAAGGTTGTGCGTTACTATGTGCTTGTTGAACGCTGAGCAGCAGCGTGAGGCTTTCTGACCGCCACACTTCAGCTGCAGCCAGGGAGAGAGAGGTGTCGGTAACGCACTTACAAACACGATGATGATTGGCCGGGTGGGCGGAGACCCTCACGGTCTCAGTCGCTGCTGCTGTAGACACAACAGAGCAGTGATGGGAAAAACGCCGTTTAAAATAACCACGTTAATAAAAAAAATATATTTCTTTCAGTAACGAGCAAACTAATTAATTATTGTCTTATTTTAACAAAACGATCGTTTCTGTTACTGATAAGGAAATGCGTGCGTTAAGCAGCGCGGTGTGTTGAAGCTGTCATCAGCTGATCAGGAGCTAAAGAGGTAGATGTTTTCATCCAAGAGCATCACGGCCGTGAAGAACAAGGAAGACGTGATGAATATCTACGGCTGCAGGTGTGGATCTGCACGTGCCCTTCTTGCGCCGGGGACACATGGGCCGCCGAAGCGCCGCGAATCGCCTCGCGCCGGCGCTCCAGCCCGCGCCGTGCAGCGATCATTTCGGCGTCGGCTCTATTTTTTTTTTTTCGCGGGCCCCGGGTGAATCGCGTCAGTTCTGGCAGGAAGTCAAACGTAGACGTAAGAGGCAGGCCGGTAAAGTTAACAAAATAAAGCATTTCAAAATAAAATTCCGCAATAATCAGATGTGTTCGTAATCAGACACTGCAGAAAAACCACACACACATACACACACATCGAACTTGTGTGCGTGTGTGATCACGTGAAGGGGGGTGTCTTTTCACCAGAGCAAACAGGACAGAGAGGCAGAAAGTCTGAGGCAAGCAGTTAAGATGGATGACTTTAAATTAAGTATGGAAGTTGAGAAACACAAGGAGCTGTACGACCCCCGAAAAACATGATTATTTACGTACCCATTTAGGAAGAAACTGCTAGGATACAGCTGCAGAATTGGAGCGGGTTTCAAGAGATTCAACTGGCAGAAACAATACCATAGGTTCACACACACACACACACACACACACACACACACACACACACACACACACACACACACACACACACTCAAACGTAGAGGAAAAGAGCTGAGAAAAGGCAGAGAGGAAATGGAGAACACCAAGTGTTTAAAAAAAACTACAGCTGAGCCGAGGCGCGCCTCGACTGGGGCGCATCTGATCTGAACTGAGGAGCGGCGAGCAGCGGCCGAATTTCGTGAGCGATTCGCTTCCGCGGCCGGTGTGTCCCCGACGTTAGAGTGACAGCGGGACGTCCCGAAGGTCCGCTCATCTGTTCACCGCTCAGACGTCCTGATCTTCTACCTTCCTAGATCATCCAGCTGTAACCGGTTTCTGATCATGTCTTTAGTCCCGCTGTAACACTGATGCATCAGTCTCAGACGTCATGGAGCTCAGGTGTTATTAGAACTACCTGTGTGTGTTTACCACCCAGCTTCAGCTCTTCTGTGGTTGGGTCTGACCCAAGTTAGTAAATGTAAGTCCTCCATCAGGCTTGTGCCTCTTCTAGTGTCATTTTAAAGGATTTTATTTATTTATTTAACCGTTACTAGATTAGCAGCAACAGAAATGCTGCTAAAAACACACAATTATGTGAAGCTGGAAAAATTAGAATGCTGTGCAAAATTACATTCATTTCTATAATTTAACTAGACTGAGAGACCATTTAAAGGCTCAGGAACCTTTACAGGTGTTTCTATTTGCAATTTTAAATTTTAGCTGATTGGGGTCTTGTTAAATATCACACAGTGACCTTTTAATAGTCTAGATAAGTGTAATGTTCCTGTTAGTAGTTCCTCCTTTTAAGTGCTTATTTATTTAAATTATTCAGGTTTATAAAAACATTTGGACATACATTTTATTATGTTCCAGTCATTAGTCATTTATATTTCACTATTGTAGTAATTCTTACATGCTTTAATGAAAAAAGTAACTAAGTAGTTATTTTTCTTGGTAATTAGTTACTTTTATAATCTTGCAACTCAGTAACTGAGTTACTTTTTTGACAAAGTAATCAGTAACTATAACTAATTACTTTTTTTAAGTAACGTTCCCAGCACTGATTATTTTACAGAATGTTCTGTTTTGTTTGCTGACAAAAGGAGAAAGGTCTCCGGATGTCCTCTGTTCCTGTAGCCACACCTCCTTTTTTACGTTCTCTCACCTGAAAACTTCCTAGATTTTTAGTCACATGCGGGTATTATTGTAGTTAAGTATTTTTTATTCTGCATGATTTATTTTTTTGTATTTTTACTTTTCAGATTGAATAAAATCTAACAGGAGTTTTAACTCCACCTTCCTGTCCCTCTTCATCTGTCCCACAGCCAGCAAGCTCATGTCCACCAAGCTTTTCCGGAGAGAGCGACATACTGTGTCTGTCCTGGACCTCCCCGGGAGTGTTTTACTGGTGCCACAGGACTCTCTGGTCGGGGAGCCGCTGCCCAACAAGAGGATGCAGTACAAAGGTGCATGTGAGCTGTGGCTCGGCGCCCAGCTCTTCTCCAACCTGGTGTCAGCCTGCAGGCAGCTCATGTCCACCTCCACCAAGTGCTCCAGGGCCTGCACCAAAGTGGAGTACGGGGTCTACGGACAGAAACAGGAGATTGTCCTGACTTCTCTGGAACCGATGTCTCTTCTCCTGGACTTCTGATCTACGGGACACCTGCTGGATGTCTGCTACTAGACCTTCGTTGTGTTTTACCGGTGTTCTCTGGCACAGTTCAAATCGTTTTTCTTCAGACCGCGAGACCCACGGACCTGGTCTCAATGTACTTTTGTTGTCACAGCAAAGACCTGCGTGGATGCAACGTTCAGTTTAGATTAAAACTTGAGGCGGGCGGTTATTTGCTCAAGGTCTGATGGAGACTTTGTGGACATGGTCCTGTTTGTCCTCACCCACATGAACTGGTCCGATGTTGCAGACGACAAAAGGAACCTGGACTTTCCACAGAAGCTACAGTCGCAGTAGAACATCTGTTACTGCAGGATTTAGTTGCATGACTCAGGCAACCCCCCCCCCCCCCCCCCCCCCCCACACACACACACACGATCGTAATGTCATAAATGAATTAAAAACGTTGAGTTCTGACCTGACATGTTTCAGTAGTTTAACTCTAAAGTTCCTCGAGTATTGCCTCTGAGGGGAAAGTTGGACTATCGAGTACTTTGTCCTGGACATGTAGACGAGCTGTAGCAGTAGCCAGATTTAGACCGGCTATGTGGCTATAAATAGCATCCGGTGTGTTTCCTCACTCTGGCGGTTTCTGTCCTCAACTTTTTGGGGCTTTAATTTCTGTCGCTTGGCCCGACACCGTTCCGACGCCCGCTCGGGTCCTTTGGCTGCCGTCCGCTGAGAAAAACATCTAGCTCTTCCGAGTGAGGACTCACGATGACGGGGAGGACTCTAGGAACCCAGCGGCTGACCAAAACCTGCTGCTATTTGCTGGCATTTTTTCACATTCATGTACAGATAATGAAAATACAAACATGCCTACGTTTGTTTCAAGTTGTGACATATTTCTGTCCCACAATCAGTGGACTGTGTTCTGGCTCCGCCTTCACTGTACCGCTCCAGAAATGTCTGGACCCACAACAGAAGGGGGCCAAAAAGGTCCTTTGACTGGTGGTCTGGGTAAGTTGTCTGAACCGGTTTGACAATCAGAACAGAAAAATTAGCGATCCGATCCTTCCCATTCCACGGCAAAACGGTTGAAGGAAATGAGCTAATGGAGGTACCCAAGTGCTATATTTAGAAAGATCGCATTTGCTTTTTCGACGATGTACGGAGGATGCGTTGCTCTGACTGGTCCTAGTGCGGTCCAACAGCGTGCAGAGACAGGATGACAGACAACTGTAGGTTCCGACCCACAGACTGAGCTCCGTCTGTGGGGAGTGGTCAGGCAAAACCATCTTTAGCCAAGCCACGTTAAAACATGTTTAGCATTTATTGACTTTTTCATACTCAAACATGTTGGTTTCAGCAAACTGGTGAAGTAGAAACAAATGAGTAAAGAAACTATAGAGCTGCAGACTGGAGCACTGGAGTCACTGAAAGAAAACACAAAGGAACAGGAACTAAATCTGGCTACTTTATCGTTTCTACCCTGGATTCCACTCATTTGTGTAAAGTCTCCGGCTGCTGGTAGAAGCTACAATCAGACTGCTTCTATAAAAATACCAAAAACAGGCCAAAAATAAAATTAATCCTCATTTTCCTTTTCAAGTATAAATATAAATAAATACAAGAACATGGACTTTAACAAGTTACCTTAAACCAATGATGCCTAGCCTGTCCTGCCAGACTCCTCCTGTTTAAAGCTTGGTTTATGCTTGACGCATTCACTTTCCGCACGGTGATGCGGCTCGCGGATGGAACACGCTTCACAACTCGCAGCGTTTATGGTTCATGCGGCTTGTCTCTGCGGTGAGCCAATATTCTCCCAAACTGTAGGGGGCAGCATGGAGCTCTACGGCATGCATCCAACACTACACCATAGTAGAGGAAATTACTGTTTACAACATGGCATTCCAGCATTTTTAACAGCGTCCTCATCTTTTCCGACAGTGCGAACTATTTCTCTTCAAGAATTATTAACAACATGTTGATCACGGTGATCTCTGAGCGCTGAATCATACAAATGTCTGTATTTACCAACCTCTGCCATACTAGTTCTTGCCAGTCCGCCATGTTTTTCCACGTCCAACCGTCCGCGTGGTTAGAAAATTTGCTAGGTGCGCGGTGCGGAAATTTGGGGCCATGCGGAGGCGCAGTGTTGTTAAAATGATGAAATTTCACCACACGGACGCGTCAAGCATAAACCAACCTTAATTCTGCACAGAGAAAGGGTCTGGGAACTCTCCTATTCAAATAACTCCACCCCCTGAGAATTCTAACCGAGCCAATCAGAGCCGAGCAGCGTACGTCACACACCACAACGCTGAGTTTGTCATAAACATGGCGACTGACGCAGAGTTCGCTGCGGCTCTTTCCTCTGCTCTAAATGACTTGAATGTCTTTAAAACAACAAGTAGAAGCGCTAAAAGCCTTTCTTCTACAGAAAGACGTCTGCGCTGTCGCCAGACGCCATTTGACTACAGCTAAAAAAAACGACAGCGTCGCGCGGTACAGTCGGCATTTCCGTCTTTTTCCTGATTGGTTATTTTTGAGCTACCTAATCCCGCCCCTCATGTGCCTCTCTGCCTGTGAGTTACCAGACTCTCGCTCTGTGCAGAATTAACCAGTGGAAGAGTCTGGCAGGCCAGGCTAAAAAAATGCCTCCAGCAAATGAAAAAAGAACCAAAACTTTTGTTTGAATTGAAATTAAAACCTTAAAAGGAAGCGGTTGGTTTGGGGGGAAAAGATTCCAAGTTGGTGTCATAGGATTCAGACACTAATGTTTATGAGGAGACGTGGTCCTGGATAGCAGTTAAACTCCTCTAACCAGTTCTGCTGGAGCCTGCATGTGGTGAGATGAATGAAGACCCTCCTCCCTGGAACACCTGAGTTGAGGTCATTAGTATGAAGGGATGAGCCTGCGCTGCCCTCCTGCTGGTTAAGACCGGCGAAAAGAACTTTCTGCAGAAACAAAAGCAGCTTTTGTCCTTTACCTATTTGATAGTTCAGGAGGAAACGGGACACGGCACCACCGCTTTACTTGTGTAATCAAAGTAGTTTAGTGGAAATCCACCTCCAGACACTGCCGAAAACGTTTTATTTGTGTTGACTTTTGGATCAAAGTCAGAGTTTCCACATGACTAAACCTCGTGCTGTCAGCATGGGAAGACTTGACCAGGGACCTTAACCAATCTGGAACCAGTCACTGCAGCTGCTGCTCTGGCCAGACCTGACCACCGGTTCTAGTGCCAGGTGATTACTTCAGAACAGAAGCAACCAACTCTGGGCTTCCATGTCTCACAGGCTCATGTGTCAGATTGGCGCCAGTCCCACGATGAAGCGTTTTCCTGTCGCTCCCGTCTGATCGGCTCAGTCTCCCTCCCATAGACAGTCACATTCTCGTAGAAGGCTTCTCTGCCGCATGGCGGTTATGACGGTGATCCTGTTCTCAGACAGATCCCGTAGCTCATTGATGAGCTCCTGTACACCGGGGCTCGGCCAGGGGTGGCCGTTAAGGTAATCCCTCAGAATAAAGGAACGCTCCACTAGCAGCTCCAGCTGCACCAGGTGCCGCAGCTTTTGGAGACTTAGCAGGTCTTTCTCTGGTTCACGGCGGAAAAATCTGCAAAACAGACGGGAAACTACTGTGCTAGCCTGCAAAACACAAACCTGATTTGCTGGTCTAACTTCAGACGGCCACTGACTTATGGTCTTTAGTGCCAGTGAAGACAAGAGACTCACCGTATCCTAAGAGTCCTGAGATGAGGGAAAAGCATAGGGATTCGTCTGCAGAGGCTGCCGCTAGAGCGGTTCTGCTCAATGTCCAGATGCTCGAGTCCTGGAACCTTGGGTGCAATGGAGTCCATGTCTTTTAGCGTTATGGCTACTCGCAGAGTCAGCCGGGTTACACTGGGGGGGATCAGGGTTGTGTACGTAGCAAGAGAATTACCACCTGGGAAGACAGAAGGACAATCTCAGTGTGGGGCTCATAGGGTGTATCCAAATCCAGGGCCGATTACGTCACAGCGCCCAAACAAAGCCTGTCCAAATTTCAGTATAAGCTTAAAGTGGTCAGAATTAGGGCCGGGCAGACACTCGGCTGTGCTGGCGACTACAGATGCTCCTCTGGTTTGCCATGAACTCTGACCGCTGAAGTTAAAGATGGAGCTCTTGGGTTTTTACACCGTCTGAGCGTTGCTAACACACACCTGTACGCTCCAGACCTGGAAACTGACGAAACCTCTTTTCATCATTGTTACAATACCTGTGATTTCACACTAAGATGCACAAATATCTGTGGCTCGTTCAGCCCTGCTGCTCTATGTCACAAACAAGCTCAAATGTGAAGGTGAGCACAACGCACCGATGATGGTGAGGGATTCCAGCTGTTGCAGTGGACTTAGCCATGTTTTGAGGCGACAGTCAACACCGTCTCTGATGTATCTGTAGCGGACAGACAAGGACCTGAGCGAGGTCAGGCTCCTCAGTGCGTTTTCAGGAAGGAGGGTTTCTGGGTAGTCTACAAGCTCTAGACTGGACAGAGCGGGGCCGCCGTATGAAGATGGTCCTGCAACAAAAATCAACAGTAAATACATGGGGACACCACCTGGATTTGTTTTTAAACTGATATTTATTAGAACGGCCCTTTATTCACGAGTCAAACAGATTTCACATCATTAAAATTGGTTTTCCACATCCGTCTGGCCTTGGTTACACTTCTCAGTGGCCTAGTGGTACAGGGACTGGGAGATCAGGATTCCAATGGCCCGGTCGGGAGGCGATTTTCACCAGTGTGTGATGACTATGGGACCTTAACTTTATCAGAGACATCACTCACCCAATCCCTAGCAGATGAGAGAAAGGTGTGATCACAGGAGGTGAAGGATTCCTCTCTAAATGTGTGTGTGTGTTCAGGAATATTTACTTTTAATTATTTATTATTTATGTAACCAGGAAGGTCCAATTGAGATTAAAAACCTCCTATTTCAAGGGAGTCCTGGCCAAGAGGCAGCAACAGCTTCTTCTTTTGGGAATTTCCTGACCAGGATTTCCCTTTTTGGTACACCGACTGTAATTTGTGCAAAATAAAAGCATCCTGAAGCCTGTGTGTGTGTGTGTGTGTGTGTGTGTGTGTGTGTGTGTGTGTGTGTGTGTGTGTGTGTGTGTGTGTGTGTGTGTGTGTGTGTGTGTGTGTGTTAAAACACGCTGAGGTCCTGTAGTGTTTTCAGACGCCCTAACTCTACTCACCAGGTTGGTTCGGATCCTCGGGGCTGAAGTAGTCGTCCGGTAGCGGTTCTGGCGGCTCCCCCTTCATCCCCCAGGACAGGTGTCGGAGTTTCTTCAGGCTGACCAGGAGTCTGTGGAAGTCGCTGCGGGGCACCGGTCTCACGGTGTCCAGGCCGTAGCCTTCACCCTGCTGGTGGAACAGCAGGGACCGCAGGTTGACCAGCTCCGACACCGTGACGATGAACTCCACCGTGCTGGGCAGCCGGACGTTGCAGACGCTGAGGTGGGTCAGCCGCTCCCCGAGCTGCTGGGTGAGCCCACGGCCCAACAGCGCTTCGTCCCAGGTGGCGTTCCGTACTCCGAGTTCCCTCAGGTGGGGGAACCTGGACAGGTTGTCCAGATACTTCTCCTTGTACTGGCGCCCGCCGTCCATAAAAACGATGGCCGTGAGCGACGGCAGGAACTTCACCAGGCGTCGCCACTCTTTACGCCGCAAGTGTCGCACCGCCACTCGGGTGAGTTTGCGGTGACATAGGGTGTGCCAAAAGCCGTACGTGTACCGACGGAGCTCGGACAAAACCACCGTGTAGTCCCTCCACAGAGCCGGGTGGTCAGCGAGCTTCTTCAGGTGCCTGGAGCAGGAGCGAACAGTGTGCTTTTCCTCGGTGCTCAGGTAGCTGAAGGCGAGTACCCAGAGCTCCGGCGGGAGATGAAGCGGACCCTCCATCCCAGCTAGCTAACAGCAACGGGAGCTGCCCCAAACGCACAAGTCCTGTCTTAACACTTATTAATGTTTACACTAATAATAAATAACCTGCGGTTGGACCCTTAGTGACATTAAGCCCCTGGAGCTGCTGAGCAGCTGTGCTTAATGTTCTCTTCTTCTTCTTCCTTTCCGGTTAAATGGCGGGTGGCAACCAACTTAAGGTGCATTACCGCCACCTACTGTGCAGGAGTGTGAGTCAGAGCGAGGAGAGAATATATATATATATATATATATATATATATATATATATATATATATATATATATATATATATATATATATATATATATATATATATATATATATATATGTGTGTATGTATGTATGTATATAGAAAAATAATAAAAAACTAAATTCTACTAAATACCTTAATTTTCCTAAGAAACTCTAGCACCAACTTATAATTGGACCCACTGCCATTCAACAACGTTCTCAAATTCCAAACGCCACATCCTTTATATTTCAACCTATCTATAAATTCACCCCTAATTACATCAAACTTACTACAAAAACACAAAACATGTTCTACCGTTTCCTGTTCTGTCCCACAATCACAAAAACCTGTTTGATGTTTTCCCAAAAAATGCAAAGTGCTGTTCAATCCCGAATGTCCTAATCTCAATCTCGTTATTATTGTTTGTTCCCTATTATGTAACTCCTTAAACGACCTTTTACCTACTACGTTCTGTATATTAAATAAATGTCGGCCCTTTTTATCCCTTACCCACATGTCCTGCCATTCATTCATAATTCTATCCTTAATCATTGACTTCACTTCGTTACTGCTAAAAGGGATCGCTTTCACTACTTCTAACTTTACTGCTTGCTTTGCGTAATAACCTGCTAATTCATTACCTTCAATCCCCCTGTGCGCCGGTACCCACATACATCTTATTTCCATCCCTAAGGCACACAACCGAAACAGGCATTCAAAGATTTCTAGAAAAATATCAACTCTATTTTCATTACTTCTTGAATGAAGTGCCAACAAAACTGATAAAGAATCCGTACATATTATACAATTTCTAAATCTATGTTGCTCAATCCAATCCAAACAAAAATAAATTGCCAGCATTTCAACTCATCTGGAGTTCTAAGTTTCACCCCTTTACCCACCACCGGAATATAGAAAGAACAACCCGTCCTCCCACTCACAGAGTCTTTCGATCCATCTGTAAAGACTGGTATACAATTTTTATGAACACTATCTAACCTATCATTCAAAATACTATCCCAATTACCTTTGCCCTTATTCATACACATCATATTTTTAAGATAAAAGTCAATATCACACCTAGGAAAAAGCCAATATGGAGTCACTGAACATAAAAACTTATTTACAAATGCAATACCAGTTAAGTTATACCCTTCTGCTAATGTGGTTTTAATGTTCTCTTTCTTCTTCTTCAGTGGTGTTTATGTCAGCTGGTAAAGAAACGGTTCGACACACCAGCGCCCCCTACCGGTCTGGAGTGAAGGCAGTTCCAGCCTGGCAAGCCGTTCAGAGGCGCATGCGCAAAAAGAATAATGAGCAGTTGAATTCAAGCTCTTAAGTACAGGTAAAAAGTACCGGCTTTGAAACTACTTAGAGCATAAAATTAAAAGTAGTGTCAGTTAAAAAATCATCGCAGCACCACCACAAACCTCCCACAGAAGCATTATTACCAAAGGCCATGATGACTGTGACATATACAAATGCAATTATGGACAAACCTGCAATACTGTGGGCTACCTTTTCATGCCCATTGAAAATGAATGCACGTAGTGCAGTCAACATGTGGGTGGAGAAGAAGAAGAAAATATCGTTTCTAAAGCGCCTCTCAAGATAAAAATCACGAGGCGCTTCACAAAAACAAAAGATGTAAAAATATAAAAAAGCATTTAGAAAATGTTTAAAAAGGTATTTTAAATGAGCAAGAATAAGCAATTGCAATTTAAAAGAAAAAATGTTAAGAAAGAGAGAGTGAACAGGAAAGAGGGAAATCAGTGGATCCTGAGGAAGGTGGAATAGGTGGGGAGAGCAGAACAAGGAGAGGGGGATGAAGAAGGTCATACAAAAGCCAGCTTGAACAAGTGAGTCTTCAGCTGCTTTTTAAAGGAGACCACTGAGTCCACTGATCTCAGGCTCATGGGGAGAGAGGTCCAGAGTCTGGGGGCCACAGCAGCAGATTATCTGTCACCTTTGGTCTTTAGCCTGGTGCTGCACAACCAGTAGGCTTTGATCACTGGACCTCAGGGACCTGCTGGGGGTGTAGGGACTAAGAAGATCACCAATGTAAGATGGTGCTTGTCCATGTAAGGCCCTATAGACCAGAACCAGGATCTTGAAATGAACCCTGAAGTTGACTGGCAGCCAGTGAAGCTGGAGGAGAAGCGGGGTGATGTGGGTGTGTTTGGAGGACTTGGTCAGAAGCCAAGCACAGGCATTCTGAACCACCTGTAGACGGTTCAGGGAGGTTCTGCTCAGACACGTGAAAAGAGAGTTACAGTAGTCTAAGCGTGAGGAGATGAAGGTGTGGAGAACTGTCTCAAGTTCAGAGCGGGACAGAATGGGACTCAGCTTAGCAACGTTCCTGAGATGGAAGAAGGAAGAGTGAACAAGAGAACTTACATGTGAATCCAGGGTGAGAGCTGGGTCAAAGGTCACGCCAAGACTCCTGACAGAAGGTTTGGTGTGGGAAGCAAGCTGACCAAGAGAGTCTCTGACTTTGTGAACCAGCTTGTCTAGGGCATAGATGAGGATCTCAGTCTTATCTTCATTCAGCTGAAGAAAGCTCCCAGCCATCCAGGTTTTGATAGAGTCTAAGCAGGTGTGTAACAGCTGCAGCTTAGACATCTCATGGGGCTCAAAGGAGATGTACAGTCGGATGTCATCTGCATAAAGATAATAATGCATTGAACTTATAGAGCGCTTTTCTAGACACCCAAAAACGCTTTCCACACAGTCTCACATTCACACACTGCTAGTGATGGTAAGCTACTTGTAGCCACAGCCGCCCTGGGGAGGTCTGACAGAGTCGAGGCTGCCATTTGGCGCCGTCGGCCCCTCTAACCACCACTAACACAGGCAAGTTGGGTGAAGTGTCTTACCCAAGGACACAACAGCAGGATACCCCTGGCAGGAGCTGGAATCGAACCCATGACCCTCTGATCATGAGGCAACCCGCTCTACCACCTGAGCTACTGCTGCCCCAAAGATGGTAGGAGATTCCTTTGAACAAGCTCAGGATGTGCTGAAGAGGAAGCAGATAGAGGAGGAAGAGCAGAGGCCCCAGCACAGAACCTTGTGGGACACCATGGGTAAGGGAGGTGGTGGAGGACCTAAACTTGGAGACGGCCACAGAAAAGGAGCGCTCAGAAAGATAAGAGGAGAACCACTCCAGAGCAGTTCCTGATAGGCCTACCCAGTCTCTCAGCCTCTCCAGTAGCAGGTGATGGTCAACAGTGTCAAAGGCTGCAGTCAGGTCCAGCAGGACCAGAACAGAACCGTCCCCTGCATCACTGTGGGTCAGAAGGTCATTAGAGACCCTAAGAAGAGCTGTTTCAGTAGAATGAGCTCTACGAAAACCTGACTGGAAGCTATCATAGATGTTATGTTCATCAAGAGCAGCTGTGAGTTGTTTAGCCACAACCTTTTCCAAGATCTTGGAGATGAACGGAAGTTTAGAGATGGGTCTGAAGCTGCTATGGAGAGAGAGGTCAAGACTCGGTTTTTTAAGAAGCGGGTGGATTACAGCGTTCTTAAAGTAAGTAGGGACCTGACCAGAGACCAGAGAAGCATTAATTATAGAGAGCATGCTGGGACCGATGGACTGAAAAGCACTTTTAAACAAAGATGAGGGTAAGATGTGGAGGGGGCATGCAGAGGTCTTCATAGAGTTAACTAGTTTGGTTAACTCAGGCAAAGAAACAGGAGCAACCCAGCAGGGTGTCAGAATGGTAGCGTTTAATCTTATTATCCACGCAGATACATTTGAGCTGGAAAGAGTAATTTACTTGAATACATTTTTTGTCTTTGGGATGTTTTTAATAGCAAATGCAAGATGCTGAACTCTTCTCTGTCTCACACACACACACACACACACACACAGCTCCACCACGTCTCCAGGGTTTATTTTGGCCCTTCTGATGAGATGGACTCAGTGTTGTGATCAAATCTGTTACCTCATCAAAACGTGTCAGGTCTTATTTTACGCTGCACATTTTCATTTTTTCATCTTGATACATTTTATCACATCACACACAGTAGAATCTCACATCCTCACTTGATCTGTACTTAAAGGACAGCTAATTGTTTTACTGTCACATCTTTTATTTTGAGCCTTTAGAAGAAACATAACCTTAAACCAACAAGCTAAACCATTGGCAGAAATTCAACCAGAGAAATACCCACAGATGTCATCCTTCACAATTATTGCTCTTTTCACACAAAGACAAAAGATGCTGGAACAGATTCAGCCATCTACTCTCTTTTAAATGACAGGCTGACAGAAAAAAAAAAGTTTTTCAGGATTAAAGTCTCCTGACATCCACTCAACCATAAGTCTCATCTAAACATTAAAACAACAACTGGAGCGGTTTAAACAGAAGAAGTATGGGTGACATCATTAAGTCAGAAAACACACAAAACATTGTAGCGTGACCAGCTCAAACATTCAGTTATCTAGTCACACAATGTGAACAGAACCGGGAAACAAACATCCACACAAAGTGCAGCAGAGTCCCGACCACGACACCTCCCGGTTCCACGAGTCTGAGTCCTTCAGCAGCTCTCCATCATCTCAGTAGTTGGTCACCCAAAGGCAGATTCTGGTTTCTGCTCCAGTTCCTTCATGTTCTGCCCGTTTCCTTTGATCATCAAGGGGAGAATGTCAGGATCATCCAGCCGATGACAAAGTAGAAGAGAAACACTGGATACACAACCAGCCCCCTGCGGTTGGACGGCTGGCTGTCAGCGAGGAAGGCTGTGGAAGCAAAGGTGGACCAGCCGAAGGATGCCGTCACCACCACCAACCGCACGGCAAAGCTGACCTTCCCAGAGGCTGTATATAGGACGATCCGGCACACCACCATGGCCACCGTCAGAGGCATGATGCAGTATCCCAACACACACAGGCTCTGGAAGAAGGAGAGGGTCCCACCCAGCAGCTTGGAGTTGAGTGTGATGATGATGGAGCCGAACCAGATGATGACGAAGACCTAGGATAAAGAATGGCGGTCAGTCATCAAACTAAACAAAAGCCAGAGGAAAACATGGTTGTTTTTTTTTTACTGTTAGAGCTGTGAAACATAATTAATTACTCCAATAAACACTGACAACACGAAGAGGCTAAAAGATTTCAAAAAGCAAGATGGTGGTGGTGTGATGGTCCGGGTTGCTCTGCTGCTTCATGTGGCAAGGTGGAAAAATGGTGCCACAAACCTCAAATCCACATGGATCCTGCCAACAACGCCAAATGTGGCACACGGCGTGGGAGCATGGGGACGTGCTTGTGGAAAGAGGGGGGGGGGGGGGGGGGGGGAGAGATGTGACAGGGTGAGCGTCGCTGTATCCCGACTGATCATGCGTCCTGGCTACTTGGCCAATGGGATATCCCGTACTGGTTAGCATGCATGACTCTCACACGACCGGGCCCTCGTTTTTCCACCTTACCACATTCAGGACCACCGCTGTGACTGACGGAACCAGGAATTCTGCTCTAGCAGAACATCCAGAAGGAGTACATCTGACCTTTGACCTGAAACTAGCCGTTAAAGCTGGAAAACCCTCCGATGTGTGCAGACTATAGGGACTAACATCCCATCAACTAAAAACTACATTTTGAATTTACTCGGGCTCTTTGTCTGAAACGTGTTTGCTGATGTGAAACCTCAGGTGTGCTAAGAGCTAAGCTAACACGTTGATATGTTTGAAACGTGTGATCAATGATCCAGCTGCTCTTTAGGATCAAATCACACCAAAGTGGAGATTTAAAGTGGCTTGAACTACAGATGTCCCTCTGCTCCGCTCCTGTTGTCCTGTCCTACGTCCTCTGCGCTTATCTGGACAGCTACCTCTGCAAACTGCGGGCCTCCCTGGTCGTTGCTGTCGGCCGCGCCGCCCTGGAGCAGCAGAGCCAGAGTGACGCACAGCAGCAGCGGGCCCCACAGGTCCCAGTCCCGCAGCAAAACCGAGCTCCTCTTCGGGTACAGCACGTGAACAAACTTGTTAGCCACCGCCCGCAGATCCCGCAAGATAGTCTCCTTCACCGGCTCGTCCAAAGTGGAAAACTCGTCGTCTCTTGCGGAAGATGCGACAGGAAGGGAGATGTCCCCTTCCACCGGGATGTCCGGAATGGAGACGTCTGACAGACCTGCGAACGGCCTACTGGCCTCCTCCGCTGAAGTCATTTTTCTCTGAACTGCGGTTGTGCCTGGACTTCAGACGACGTCCGTGGAGTCCACTGGCCTGTTGGGAACCACGAGGAGCAGCTCAACAACACGCAGCTGTTTTATTTAACCTAAAACTTGGCCCGTTGTTCCTCCAGGTGCTCGAATGGATTCTGCTCCACGTCAGCTGAGGATTGTTTACTTCCGCAAGAGCTTGCGTACGCACATCCGTGCGCTGCGTTTGCGTACTTAACAATACGTAGGCAAACTCATAATCTAGACTCATTTTGAGAGAAAATAACCAAATTGTCTTTTAGTGCTTGGAAAAAAAAATCAATTTCTTCAATATGTTTTTATCAAAAAGAACACTATGGTTTTTTTACATAGTGAACTGTGATTACAATTATATCTGCCTTAATATAACTTTTTTCTCTGCCAGACTAAATTGTCGTTTTTTCAGTCCTGACACACACACACACACACACACACACACACACACACACACACACACACACACACACACACAGAGAGAGAGAGAGACAGAGCGAGAAAGAGAGAGAAATAAAAATTAAAATAAAGAAAATGTCTCTTCAAGACCTTTTTAAAGTTGGCTGTCCAGCGACATCCAACACTAATAACATAACAGAACAAATATAGCATTTGCAGTTACTGTGTCGAGAGCTCTTTTTAATAAACCCGTTCCTTTGGGGCATTTCTTGTTATTTCTGGTGTTTTCTTAGGTTTTAAAGTCGAACTCTACTTTTCCCGATGTTTATGAATGTATCATTACAAACGTCGACTGCTGATGACGCAATTTTCCCACGACAATCGCAGTGTTTTCGTCCGGCAGCTTTGTTGTGTAAAAGCCTGAAGGCGCGGATGCTTTGGCAGATGTGGAGGCTTTGTGGGTCGGTTTCGTCGCGGAGTCGTGCCCGTGAGTTGCTCTCAGATGGACGCCAGTCGTAAACACGTAAAAGCAGACTGCGAGGCGCTGCTAGCCCGCTTCCAGCAAACGCAGTCGGTCCGCTTCGAGGTGTTTGCCAACATCTGGAGGGAGATGAAGTTCAGTCAGATTTTTAGGTACATATATTCTAAAATACTATTAATTTTGATCTGTTTATCACAGTTATTTTCATTTTATTACATTTGTTTAAAAACTCGTTTATGATAAATTAAAACAACATATCAAACACAACATAATGAAGGCGATTTGCCTAAAGCTAAAAAGGGTTTGAACCAGAGATGGGCATGACATAAAAGGTTAATGTTACTAAACAACAGTGTAACGCGGTTTGCATGTTAGTGATTGTAATGTATTAAAAGTAAGTGAAAGTGAAAAACTGAATTTTGTTAAACCATGTTGTCATTTTGAACATTTGAAAACAATAATGGAATAATTTGAGGGTAAAAACACGATCGTTTAACAGACAGCTAGTACGTTTTTGCTCATCTTTCTTTGATAAAGTAATTTTAGGATTAATTTGTTGATGCTAGTGAGTAATATGTCTGCAGATGCAGCGAACAGATATCTTGTGTTCTGCTGGCAGTAAAAGCTAGTGTTTCCTTAAAGGACCAGTTCATAGGAGCTCATGTTTAGGAGCTCGGCACAACCTGGCAGCAGGCGCCTCTCATGTTTATAACATTGTTGTTGTTCCTCCCACAGGGGCATTGTAAAGCACGAGAAACGGGCATTCTGTCATCTGGTCCTGAACACGGCTTACTGCTACTTCTTGCCACCGTTCAGCTTTCAGATCCGTGTGGGAGGACTTTACCTGCTGTACAGTTTGTATTATACCCAAACGGCCTCACCCTCTGAGCAGGTCAGGACCTGAAGACACAAATTATAGACATGTTTCCGTTACCAGAACTCCAGGGTAGTTCCTGGGATGGGGAACTTGACCAGGAGGTAGGACGTCCCAGTCCTCTCAGCTGTTGCGTCTCCATTCAAATCCAGCCCTTTCAGAACTTGTTCAGATGTCAGCGTATCACCACTGCTTTGGCAGTGAGTGATGTCACTGATCAGCCCCCAAAAAGCGCCCAAAGTAACATTAATACTATTAAAAGCATTAATTTTATGGAAAATATCATCATTTAATCCATTCAGAGGACAAGAGCAGCTCTGAGATTTGTGAGACTCGCCCTGTTAATTAGGTCTGTGGAGGAATCCACAGAGTTCTCCGGTGTCGGGAGTTAGATTTTAAATGTGATCGGTTCTTTTTCTTTGCTTCCATTGTGCATCACCAGCTACGTTTCTAATTTTACTGCGGCCGGTTGTTTTGGACATCTGCTGATGTCATTTCCTACTGAGTTACAACCAATCAGCGTGAGTTAACCGAGGTTCCACTCAGCTACTCCACCGGGCCGTTCGGAGTACCTCCTCCAGAGCACGTACTCAGAAGGTTCCTGAAAACGGCCGTTCGGACAGCCCGGTCAGGTGGAGGTTCCAGTAAATCTACCCTGAAGTTCTTGCAGTGGAAACACGTCTACTGTCTCAAGGTGCTGTCACACATCATTTTAGTCCTTTGGGTGTCTCTGGCTGCAGATCCATCTGGCTTTGAAGGACTGGGAAGAGGTGAAGAAGTTTGAGAACAATGCAATAGATGCTCAGCACATGGATGCGGTCTACATCCTTCGACATTTGATGTTCTGCAAAGCATTCCGCTTCACTGCTATGCCCACTCTGGTGAGCATTTTGCATTGTCTAAAACTGTGGGTGTTTGAGTACATTTGTCACAAAAGTGAATCAAAGTGGTTGCCCTTCCCTAATTCCTCTCCCCTCCATGCAGCTCTGCTTTCAGACAAATAAGGTAAAGGAAAGGTCAGTGTTGCGTGAGGAGTTTATAGAGCGGGCGTCTCGCCCACAGGAGCTGATCAGCTCTGGGCTGCTGGAGGTGAGCAGAGTCACCCTTCTCCCCTTCACTCCAACGCAAAGGTCTTGTTTTTAAAATGTTACACTTGTTTTCTTGCAGGAAATGTCCAACGTCAGTGATCTGTATGAAAATATGAAAGCTTCAGTCCTTTCTCAGATGACAACACCAGGCGATTCTTCATTTAATCTGATCCGTAAGGACCTCGTCTCTCAGCTTAGCGGCACCGTTCAGGAGTTCTACAACTGGCAACGCGAGAAGGTGAGAGATTAACTCGTGTTAGTGGATGAAACCTCTTAGACTTCTTATTATTTATCCCTTTATTTTGTTTGGACAGGAAACATTTGATGAAAACGAAAACAGTCAGGAGGACACATCTCAAAAGGTGGTAAGTTGGACCTGGTTTGGACGTAGTACATGTCCTTCAAAGGAAAAACCCACACTGCTGACTAAAATAAACCACAAAAGTTTTATTAAATAATGTTTAGAAAGTCAATGAATAAAAGCAAAATTTGTTTTAAAGTGTTTGGTAAGGTTTCATCTGTAATCTCTTATATTTTCACCTGATAATCCTTGGTGGCTTCATTCTATGCCACAATTTTTTTATCTGCAGGGGGCGCCATTGAGTGTTACAGCCTGGAGAAATGAACCGTTTTCAAACATACTAGCCTGAACGGCATCAATGCATCAGTAATCTTTATCTGGTCACAGTTACCTTAAGTTGTCCAAACATAGCCACAGAATCATCAAACTGCTAGGAGATGGTCTTCTATCCTTAAGCTGCTAGGAGACGGTCTTCTATCCTTTAGCCGCTAGGAGACGGTCTTCTATCCTTTAGCTGTTGGAGATGGTCTTCTATCCTTTAGCTGTTGGAGATGGTCTTCTATCCTTTAGCCGCTAGGAGACGGTCTTCTATCCTTTAGCCGCTAGGAGACGGTCTTCTGTCCTTTAGCTGTTGGATCTTCTATCCTTTAGCCGCTAGAAGACGGTCTTCTACCCTTTAGCCGCTAGGAGACGGTCTTCTATCCTTTAGCTGCTAGGAGACGGTCTTCTATCCTTTAGCTGATAGGAGACGGTCTTCTATCCTTTAGCTGTTGGAGATGGTCTTCTATCCTTTAGCTGCTAGGAGACGGTCTTCTATCCTTTAGCTGATAGGAGACGGTCTTCTATCCTTTAGCTGTTGGAGATGGTCTTCTATCCTTTAGCCGCTAGGAGACGGTCTTCTATCCTTTAGCCGCTAGGAGACGGTCTTCTGTCCTGTAGCCGCTAGGAGACGGTCTTCTATCCTTTAGCCGCTAGGAGACGTCTTCTTTCCTTTAGCCGCTAGGAGACGGTCTTCTATCCTTTAGCTGCTAGGAGACGGTCTTCTATCCTTTAGCTGCTAGGAGACGGTCTTCTATCCTTTAGCCGCTAGGAGACGGTCTTCTATCCTTTAGCTGTTGGAGATGGTCTTCTATCCTTTAGCTGTTGGAGATAGTCTTCTATCCTTTAGCTGTTGGAGATGGTCTTCTATCCTTTAGCCGCTAGGAGACGGTCTTCTATCCTTTAGCCGCTAGGAGACGGTCTTCTGTCCTTTAGCTGTTGAATCTTCTATCCTTTAGCCGCTAGAAGACGGTCTTCTACCCTTTAGCCGCTAGGAGATGGTCTTCTATCCTTTAGCTGCTAGGAGACGGTCTTCTATCCTTTAGCTGATAGGAGACGGTCTTCTATCCTTTAGCTGTTGGAGATGGTCTTCTATCCTTTAGATGCTAGGAGACGGTCTTCTATTCTTTAGCCGCTAGGAGACGGTCTTCTGTCCTGTAGCCGCTAGGAGACGTCTTCTTTCCTTTAGCCGCTAGGAGACGGTCTTCTATCCTTTAGCTGCTAGGAGACGGTCTTCTATCCTTTAGCTGCTAGGAGACGGTCTTCTATCCTTTAGCTGCTAGGAGACGGTCTTCTATCCTTTAGCTGCTAGGAGACGGTCTTCTATCCTTTAGCTGCTAGGAGATGGTCTTCTGTCCTTTAGCCGCTAGGAGACGGTCTTCTGTCCTTTAGCCGCTAGGAGACGGTCTTCTATCCTTTAGCCGCTAGGAGACGGTCTTCTATCCTTTAGTCGCTAGAAGACGATCTATCCTTTAGCTGTTGGAGACGGTCTTCTATCCTTTAGTCGCTAGAAGACGATCTTCTATCCTTTAGCCGCTAGGAGACGTCTTCTATCATTTAGCTGATAGGAGACAGTCTTCTATCCTTTAGCCGCTAGGAGATGGTCTTCTATCCTTTAGCCGCTAGGAGATGGTCTTCTATCCTTTAGCTGCTAGGAGATGATCTTCTATCCTTTAGCCGCTAGGAGACGGTCTTCTATCCTTTAGCTGCTAGGAGACGTCTTCTGTCCTTTAGCCGCTAGGAGACGGTCTTCTATTCTTTAGCCGCTAGGAGACGGTCTTCTATTCTTTAGCCGCTAGGAGACGGTCTTCTATTCTTTAGCCGCTAGGAGACGATCTTCTATCCTTTAGCTGCTAGGAGATGTCTTCTGTCCTTTAGCCGCTAGGAGACGGTCTTCTATCCTTTAGCTGATAGGAGACGGTCTTCTATCCTTTAGCTGCTAGGAGACGTCTTCTATCCTTTAGAAGCTAGGAGACAGTCTTCTATCCTTTAGCTGTTAGGAGACAGTCTTCTATCCTTTAGTCGCTAGAAGACGATCTTCTATCCTTTAGCCGCTAGGAGACGTCTTCTATCATTTAGCTGATAGGAGACAGTCTTCTATCCTTTAGCCGCTAGGAGATGGTCTTCTATCCTTTAGCCGCTAGGAGATGGTCTTCTATCCTTTAGCTGCTAGGAGATGGTCTTCTATCCTTTAGCCGCTAGGAGACGGTCTTCTGTCCTTTAGCTGCTAGGAGACGTCTTCTGTCCTTTAGCCGCTAGGAGACGGTCTTCTATTCTTTAGCCGCTAGGAGACGGTCTTCTATTCTTTAGCCGCTAGGAGACGGTCTTCTATCCTTTAGCTGCTAGGAGATGTCTTCTGTCCTTTAGCCGCTAGGAGACGGTCTTCTATCCTTTAGCTGATAGGAGACGGTCTTCTATCCTTTAGCTGCTAGGAGACGTCTTCTATCCTTTAGAAGCTAGGAGACAGTCTTCTATCCTTTAGCTGTTAGGAGACAGTCTTCTATCCTTTAGCTGCTAGGCGACGGTCTTCTATCCTTTAGCTGCTAGGAGACAGTCTTCTATCCTTTAGCTGCTAGGAGACAGTCTTCTATCCTTTAGCTGCTAGGAGACAGTCTTCTATTCTTTAGTTGCTAGGAGACGGTCTTCTGTCCTTTAGCCGCTAGGAGACGGTCTTCTATCCTTTAGCCGCTAGGAGACGGTCTTCTATCCTTTAGCCGCTAGGAGACAGTCTTCTATCCTTTAGCTGCTAGGATACAGTCTTCTATTCTTTAGCTGCTAGGAGACAGTCTTCTATCCTTTAGCTGCTCGGAGACTGTCTTATGTCCTTTAGCTGCTAGGAGACGGTCTTCTATCCTTTAGCTGCTAGGCGACGGTCTTCTATCCTTTAGCTGCTAGGAGACAGTCTTCTATCCTTTAGCTGCTAGGAGACAGTCTTCTATCCTTTAGCTGCTAGGAGACAGTCTTCTATTCTTTAGCTGCTAGGAGACGGTCTTCTGTCCTTTAGCCGCTAGAAGACGGTCTTCTATCCTTTAGCCGCTAGGAGACGGTCTTCTATCCTTTAGCCGCTAGGAGACAGTCTTCTATCCTTTAGCTGCTAGGAGACAGTCTTCTATTCTTTAGCTGCTAGGAGACAGTCTTCTATTCTTTAGCCGCTAGGAGACGGTCTTCTATCCTTTAGCCGCTAAGAGAGGGTCTACTATCCTTTAGCCGCTAGGAGACGGTCTGCTATCCTTTAGCCGCTAGGAGACGATCTTCTATCCTTTAGCCGCTAGGAGACGGTCTTCTATCCTTTAGCTGCTAGGAGACGGTGTTCTATCCTTTAGCTGCTAGGAGACGGTCTTCTATCCTTTAGCCGCTAGGAGATGGTCTTCTGTCCTTTAGCCGCTAGGAGACGGTCTTCTGTCCTTTAGCCGCTAGGAGACGGTCTTCTATCCTTTAGCCGCTAGGAGACGGTCTTCTATCCTTTAGCCGCTAGGAGACGGTCTTCTATCCTTTAGCCGCTAGAAGACGATCTTCTATCCTTTAGTTGCTAGGAGATGGTCTTCTGTCCTTCAGCCGCTAGGAGACGGTCTTCTGTCCTTTAGCCGCTAGGAGACGGTCTTCTATCCTTTAGCTGCTAGGAGATGTCTTCTGTCCTTTAGCCGCTAGGAGACGGTCTTCTATTCTTTAGCCGCCAGGAGACGATCTTCTATCCTTTAGCTGCTAGGAGATGTCTTCTGTCCTTTAGCCGCTAGGAGACTGTCTTCTATCCTTTAGCTGATAGGAGACGGTCTTCTATCCTTTAGCTGCTAGGAGATGGTCTTCTATCCTTTAGAAGCTAGGAAACGGTCTTCTGTCCTTTAGCTGCTAGGAGACGGTCTTCTATCCTTTAGAAGCTAGGAGACGGTCTTCTATCCTTTAGCCACTAGAAGACGATCTTCTATCCTTTAGCCGCTAGAAGACGATCTTCTATCCTTTAGCCGCTAGGAGACGTCTTCTATCATTTAGCTGATAGGAGACGGTCTTCTATCCTTTAGCTGCTAGGCGACAGTCTTCTATCCTTTAGCTGCTAGGAGACAGTCTTCTATTCTTTAGCTGCTAGGAGACAATCTTCTATCCTTTAGCTGCTAGGAGACGTCTTCTATCATTTAGCTGATAGGAGACGGTCTTCTATCCTTTAGCTGCTAGGCGACAGTCTTCTATCCTTTAGCTGCTAGGAGACAGTCTTCTATCCTTTAGCTGCTAGGAGACAGTCTTCTATTCTTTAGCTGCTAGGAGACGGTCTTCTGTCCTTTAGCCGCTAGGAGACGGTCTTCTATCCTTTAGCCGCTAGGAGACGGTCTTCTATCCTTTAGCCGCTAGGAGACAGCCTTCTATCCTTTAGCTGCTAGGAGACAGTCTTCTATTCTTTAGCTGCTAGGAGACGTCTTCTATCATTTAGCTGCTAAGAGACGGTCTTCTATCATTTAGCTGATAGGAGACGGTCTTCTATCATTTAGCTGCTAGGAGACAGTCTTCTATCCTTTAGCTGCTAGGAGACAGTCTTCTATTCTTTATCTGCTAGGAGACGGTCTTCTGTCCTTTAGCCGCTAGGAGACGGTCTTCTATCCTTTAGCCGCTAGGAGACGGTCTTCTATCCTTTAGCCGCTAGGAGACGGTCTTCTATCCTTTAGCCGCTAGGAGACGGTCTGCTATCCTTTAGCCGCTAAGAGACGGTCTTCTATCCTTTAGCCGCTAGGAGACGGTCTGCTATCCTTTAGCCGCTAGGAGACGATCTTCTATCCTTTAGCCGCTAGGAGACGGTCTTCTATCCTTTAGCCGCTAGGAGACGGTCTTCTATCCTTTAGCCGCTAGGAGACGGTCTTCTATCCTTTAGCCGCTAAGAGACGGTCTTCTATCCTTTAAATGCTAGGAGACTGTCTTCTATCCTTTAGCCGCTAGGAGACGGTCTTCTATCCTTTAGCCGCTAAGAGACGGTCTTCTATCCTTTAGCCGCTAGGAGACGGTCTTCTATCCTTTAGCCGCTAGGAGACGGTCTTCTATCCTTTAGCCGCTAGGAGACGGTCTTCTATCCTTTAGCCGCTAGGAGACGGTCTTCTATCCTTTAGCCGCTAGGAGACGTCTTCTATCCTTTAGCCGCTAGGAGACGGTCTTCTATCCTTTAGCCGCTAGGAGACGGTCTTCTATCCTTTAGCCGCTAGGAGACGGTCTTCTATCCTTTAGCCGCTAGGAGACGGTCTTCTATCCTTTAGCCGCTAGGAGACGTCTTCTATCCTTTAGCCGCTAGGAGACGGTCTTCTATCCTTTAGCCGCTAGGAGACGGTCTTCTATCCTTTAGCCGCTAGGAGACGTCTTCTATCCTTTAGCCGCTAAGAGACGGTCTTCTATCCTTTAGCCGCTAGGAGACGGTCTGCTATCCTTTAGCCGCTAGGAGACGGTCTGCTATCCTTTAGCCGCTAGGAGACGATCTTCTATCCTTTAGCCGCTAGGAGACGGTCTTCTATCCTTTAGCCGCTAGGAGACGGTCTTCTATCCGTTAGCTGGTAGCTGTGTTTGGTGACATGCTTCTCTTTGTCTCTAAATGAACAACCAAGGTTTGCAGATTAGGTTCTGACCAGAAAACGTCTGTACCAAACAACGGTTACATTGTCCTCACATGTTGTATTGTCTTTGGTGACCGCTTGTTCAATAAAACCAAACTAAACTAAACTTTTAAGTAACCGGATGCTGAAGGGTGATGCCTTTTGAGAATCCCAGGAACTTGAGTGGATGGACACCTTGAATCATTACTTCTTTAAGCTTCATCACCATAACCAGTTCACAGTAATTTGTTCTGCTGACCAACTTTCTTCTTTGTGTCCTCAGTGCTCTAATAGAGCTGAGCTCCTTGCATCCATCAAATCCAAGGCTTTTGGTGAAGCACCAGAGGTTTGTTTTTATCTTTATTCATATTTCTATAAAAATGTGTTTGAACAGCATGGTCTAGCTTCAGAATCAGATTCAGAAGGTTTTATTTCTATGTATGCGAGAAATCACAACATCAGGACATTGCTGTGGTACTTGGTGCAAAAGAAGACAAAATAAGAGATAATGTACCCGGGATAAAGTAATTTATATAAAGTGGCAATAATTAGAGAAGCTGCTACTATAAACACAGTGTAGGTACTAATCAGAGCGGATCAGGTCATGTACAAACACAACAGGATCCTGGCGACGGTACCTGGGGAGTCCAGATGCCGCAGGATGAAGTGCAGAGCCATGTTGATGGCATCATCTACAGCAGGGGTGGGGAACTCTGGTCCATCGAGGGCCACTATCCAGCATATTTTAGATTCAACCCTGCATCAACACACCTGATTTCAATCAGCAGGTGATTAACAGGCTTCTGCAGAGCCTGATGAGCTGCTGAACAGGTGGTTCAACCACTGAATCAGAAGTGTTGGAGCAAAGACATGCAGGGTACCGGCCCTCGAGGACCAGGGTTCCCCACGCCTGATCTACAGACCTGTTGGCTCTGTAGGTACTCTGCAGGGGGTTCAGGAGGGTGGCTGTGAGGGTCTTGAGGTGGGGAGAACCAGGTGCTCAAATGACTTCATGACCACAGATGTCCGAGTCACGGGTCTGTAGTCATCAAGTCCAGTGATCCATGGTTTCTTGGGGACAGGGACTATGGTGGATGTGACAGGTATGACAACCCGGAATTTTCTCTGTATCTTTGTGTGCATTAACCCTTTATCCTACAGGCCAGCAGATTTTAATACATTTTGTCTAAAATCAGTGTTTATGAAACACGCCGGGCCTTACCGACCTATTTTAATAATGTCCAATGAAAAACTTGAAATCGTCGGACATTATGACCGACGCGCTTCTTCTCTGGTCTTGCCAACTTAAAAAATAAAAAACTCCTGAAAACCACAAATTAACTGTTGATAATTTGCTCCGATTCCGTGACATGGACATTGTTTTCAGTAATCCGTCAGAGATGGTCTCTGGTCTTCTTCTGACCCTTTGAATTAATCCGCGCACGATGTGCGGTACACCGGAAGCTGTAGGCAGCTGTATTACAAACGCGAGGTAACTTAAGATCATTTCTGATTAATGTGTTATTTGTGCTGAACTAAAGCACCAGACAGAACGACATTTTGTCTTCGACAGCAGTTTATTAGAGTAGTTTAACAAACAGCTGAGATAAACCCATCTCCAACTTTCAGTTTCTCCTAATGGAACAGCAATGTTCGACCACATAAATCATGGGCCACTAGCATCGGCTCCACACTGCCCGCCTAGCCCCAGCCTGGCCCGGTTGATTCCACTGTGACATTGTCTCCCACTAGGTAATCAGCGTGATAATGCTGTAAGCCCACTGGGGTGATTCTACCCACCAATCGGAGGCTTCCCCTTATGGAAAGTGTGAATTTGAGCTGGCCTATCAGTCAACAGCGGGTGTGTTGGCCCTGGTCAGCCTGAAGCAGACCACCTTGGGAAGAGGGCTGAAAAACAGTCCAGTTACACCCTGAAAAAAGGTGGGCTACGTTGATGTGGACACACTCTACGCCATCCAGACCACGCTGAGCCGATGCTAGTGGGGAAGGCCCGTCACTGTCGCCCTTATGCACCATTGCAAAATTTAGAAATATGTTCATATGTGATCTGATGTTTCTGGTGTTTCGCAATAATTTATAATAATTATATGACAATCTCTAATAATTTCCTGATACATTCTGTTGGTTTATTTTCTAAGCAGAGGGACGGTCTAATCCTCATTTGATGAATTTAGCAGAAAGTCACATTGATGATTCTTTATTCAAATTATTTCAACGTTTTATTGCCACAATAAAAATATGTACAATATTTAAAGGTCAGAGGTCACTAAACACCCATTGTTAAACAGTTAGAGATCTGAAGCCCGCGAGGACATTGTCCTACGTGGTTCAACAATGTCCTGCGTGAGACGCTCCCACGTCTGCCAGTTTGGCAAGCATGGCTCAAAGGTTGCCGCAAACACTTCTAAAACAAATAAAATGTTAAAACGTGAATGTTTCAATAAAAAGTTGAACATTCTTACTTGATTCATTGTTTTTTGTTGTTGCTTGTTTGTCAGACATTGAAGTCGAGGCGACATCGTCGGGTGGAGATGAATTCAACGACTGAGGCGTCTGCAGCGTTGCTTAACCAGGGTTACACCCGGATATTAAAACAGTCCCTCAGAAAAAGGACCAGAGATGCTCTTCTACTTTCAGGTGAGTTTCCTACAGATTTCAGACTAAAACACGTCCGACTGACCCAGACGGCTGGAGTCTCCGTGGTGACCCGTGGCCTCGCAGCAGCAGAATATGTGGAAACTTTTCAAAGGAGCCTCCGCAGCTCCATCAGGTTTAGATGTGTTTAAATGTTGTACTCACTCGGCGTCTCTGGTTGCCAGGTGATGTTCAGATGGAATCAGCATCACACACTCGGATCAGTCTCCTCGCCACGCTGGACTCCGCCTCCAAGTAAACGTCATCATTGTGTTTGCTCACATGCTGAACTCTGCCCTGACGCTAACCTCTCCATCTTTTATTCTCCTTTCAGAAAAATACTAAAAGAAGAGCGCAGTTAGGTGGCGAGGGAGGTGCAGAAGACCTCAGCTGTATTTTAATAGGTTCAAATAACTGATGTGAAATTCTGATGCTGCATCTTTATTTGCTCTGACTGTGTCAGATTGTGTTGTCTGGTTGGGATCCAGGCCTCACGTCTCCATCTGAGATAGCTGTAGATAGAGCTTCAGGTTCATCCAGAGGTCTGGATCCTTATCCTGTCTCTGTCATTATTACTTGTTGTTACATCCTATTAAATGTCATTTATAAGAATTCATTTGTTCCTGGACAGCAGCCAGTCTTTTTTCAAGTGGCAAAAATCACTTTGGGTTCATTTGATCAATTTAACAGTCATTTTTACTATTTTAGAGTCATTGTTTTGTACGAAGAGAACACCTGTTGTGATTTGGCACTATATAAATGAACTGAATCGAGTAGAACAATTAAAAAGGTAAAGCAGGGTATCCGGGGGTCCTTAAAAAGTCTTAAAAAGCCTTAAATTAGCTTTTCCAAATTTAAGGCCTTAAAAATCCTTAAAAATGACAAATAATCCTTAAATACAGTTTCCAGAGGTCTTAAATGACCAAAGACCCAATAAACAAGATTCTTTTATTTCTATAAAATTTTTGTGAATTTCTAGTTGGTGTTCAGCGTTTTTTGTGTATGATGCTGGCGTAAGCGGAACCGTACACATTCAGTTGGTTGTGAAAGGGGGCTATTTTTAGATGAGCACATTAGCTGGTTAAGCTAGTGGGAGCTTGCGCCATGGGGAAGTGCAAGTTTAATGGTAACTGGATGGCTAATCCCACGATCGTGGCGAGGTTAGCACCGGTTCCAGGCAACAGCTGGAAATTATAGCTTAAATGATAAATGACCCGCACTTGTATAGCGCCTCTCAGAGTCAGGACTCCAACGCGCTTTACACTACAGTGCATCATTCATCCATTCACACACACATTCACACACTGGTGGGGATGAGCCATGATGTAGCCACAGCTGCCCTGGGGCGCACTGACAGAGGCGAGGCTGCCGAGAACAGGCTCCACCGGTCCCTCCCACCACCACCAGCAGGCAAGGTGGGTTAAGTGTCTTGCCCAATGACACAACAGCAGAATTCTCCGTCCGGAGCCGGGATCGAACCTGCAACCTTCCGATTACTGGACAACCTGCTCAACCTGTTGAGCTGCCTACTGCTGCCCTGCTTAAATAGTTTAAATTTGGTCAAAGTGGCCTTAAAAAAGGTCTTAAAAAGTCTTAAAATTGGCTCCCTTAAACCTGCAGATACCCTGTAAAGGCAAATATAACAAACATGCAGCCTGCTCCGAGCATCTAAAAGGTTTTCACATTTTTATTAAAAATAAAAACTCCCAGGAAAACATCATGAAGCAGAATTTACAACTCGCTGGCCATCCCATAGTCTTCTCCAGTGCTGGTTGTAGTTCAAACATAAACATGATAACTGTGAACGAGTGGCTCAGATGGGAGAGGCAGAACTGTGGTCGTCATCCGCTGCTGCACATCACCACAAACACCACGTCTACACTGCAGCATGGTGGCGGAAGCATCATGATCTGGGGTGGACCCTGGAAGAAGGCTTGTAAAAGCAGAATACAGAAAAATATCTCAATCCTGGAGTAAATACAACATGAGAGAAGAGACAGGTTCACGTGGACTCTGTTGTTATGGCATCCCAAAGATGCTTGAAACGAACCAAAGGGGTGAATACACAAGCAGTTATTTACTGTTTATTTTTAAATGAAGAGACATTTTGAAGACCTGTCTTAATGAAATATAAAAGCGTGAAACCTCTGAGGGGTGAACATGTTTATATGTGTTAGCTAGGAGCCCACTGCATAAGTACAGCAGGTTTAGGAGAATGTTGCTCCCATGTGTTGTTGTTCAAATCATGGCAGCTTAACCATGCAAGAGATGAGGACATAGCAGTCACATCCAAAAAGTGCAAGTGGATCAAGCCTAGTGAGGAGTCTCTGAAAAAAGTGGAGTATCAGCAAGGCAAGGACATAATATTTAACACTCACAACAAACCAAGAAAGTGAAGTCTTCCAAAGGCCCTGCCACTTCACCAGCCTTCCCACCTCTGACCCCCACTGAGCAAGCAGTTTTACAGCAATCTCTCAAGCTGCTGTACACAAGATGGACAGACGACAAAGCCAGCAGTCCTATCGGTAATCGGAGACTTCTCATCATCCTATGTCCCAAAAGCTGTGACCCTCGATCTTCCACAGCCCCTCATGAATCTGAATGACAGACAGGCAAGAGATGTCAGCGCAGAGGAGCTAGAAGAAAGAGCAGAGAAACTTTTAGAAAACATGACTTTGACCAAGGAACAGGTAAACCATCGTGTTATAAATACAGCAAATTCAGGTGTTTTTGGCCTTAGTTCATGTTGGTCATTGTGTAAGATTGTGTCTGATCATATTTTCAGAGTGATATTGTGGAAGAGGAGACACGAGCACAGTCTAAGTCCAACATTTGGTTTGACCAAAGAAGTGGTAGAACAACAGCGTCCACCTTCAAAGCAGCCACAAAGACAGACATCACAAAGCCCTCCGTGTCCCTGATTCGAAAAATATGCTACCCAAAGCCTCATAGCTTCACCAGTGAGGCTACCAGGTATCAAGTGAAATAACTTGGTTTTGTGAGCTACTTGAACTATTTATCATTATTTTATAGAGATTTGATTCGCAAAAGTATCTAAAAGGATTTTGTTGTTTTACAGATGGGGCAGAAACCATGAGGAGCTGGCAAGAAACTATTATGAAATTCAGCATCGCCTTGCACATTCCCATGTCCCAGTAGAAACAACTGGTTTCAGGATCGCGCCCACACATCCATTCATGGGAGCCTCACCTGATGGTTATGTTTCTTGCAGTTGTTGTGGTCCAGGTGTTGTAGAAATAAAGTGCACATTTTGTGCAAAGGTCCTTTCTGTGGATGAGGCAGCAGATCTCGCAAATTTTTGCCTTGAAAAAATGAGCAGGGAACCATCAGACTAAAGCCGGATCACGCATACCATTATCAAGTACAAATGCAGATATTTGTTACTGACAGACAATATTGTGATTTCGTCCTCTGGACTGAAAGACACTGATTCACCATTTGTTGAACGTGTGACAGCAAATGTGTCATTTTTTGACAAACAGCTTGAATGTGCAAAAGCTTTTTACCAAAAACGTATTCTCCCAGAGCTGCTTGCAAAGACTTTTTCAGCACCAGAGCCAGCAGCAGCAGGTGCTGATAATGGTCAACAGTGGTGTTACTGTCGCGAGCCAGAGGACGGTGACATGTTGGTGTGCACCTCAAGTTTTTGTTCTTTAAAAAAGTTTCATAAAACTTGTCTGCACTTGAAAAGGAATCCTAAACAATGGAAATGTCCAAGCTGTAGAAAAGTTATCAACTCACAAAAAAAGAAATCTGACAAGCTGAAGAGTAACAAACAAATGTGGGTTGCCCTTATTTGTAGCCCGTACTAGCATACTGGCACAGCTTCAAGACTAACACGTCAGTCTGTTAATGAGAAGTGTGTCACATACAACAAGAGGCTGATGAAAGTAAGATTCATTTTTTATTCATGTTTGTATTTAACATGCAAACAAAAATGTTACAATTTTCTGAAGACTAAGAATTATTCCTTTTTGGTCTGTTGTAGTAAATAAAAATGAAAGTTCACATCTGTGATGACTTAAAAGAGCTTGTCAGCATTTTTTTTGTCTGCCAAATTATGGAAAATATATTACAAGTTCACTGAAAGGGCACAACAGATTCACAGACATTGGTAAGAGCTAGGGATGAGCGAGTACACCACTATCTGTCTGTATCTGTACTCGGAATGGGCGTGGCATAACCCGGAAGTGGGCGTGGTTTGCATCAATGCATTATCTGAAATTGATATGGATTGATCAGATGTTGCTATGTGTTATTGTTTATTTGAAAACTATTTACAGAGCAGCCTCAGAATTGAGATTAAATATTTTTGATCACAATAGTAAAGAAACTATTACAGAACAAGTTTTTCAATAAAATCAGAACATTAATATTTGAGTGCATGGACTAATACATCTGAACTCATGCAGTAAGAACTAGGAAATATGAAATGCTAGAACCAGACACAACTTTATATATATTTTTTTATTTTAGTTTGATTAAACTGATTTTTTCTTAACGTTCTTGGCATTTTCCCACACAAAGTTAAACAAAACAATGTTGATTAATGTGTGTGTGTGTGTGTGTGTGTGTGTGTGTGTGTGTGTGTGTGTGTGTGTGTGTGTGTGTGTGTGTGTGTGTGTGTGTGAGAGAGAGATAGAGAGGGAGAGAGGGAGAGAGAGGGAGTTCAAAAAAATAAAAAACCCGACCGGAGCGGAGGTAGTGACAACAGCACGTCAGCTCTGTCTTGTCAAATGCACCATGTCAGTTACGAAAAAAGTAACTTTAAATATTCAACCGAAAAAGAGGCGAGCTGAAGAAAACCTAGGGAAAACTGAAGAAACGTGAGAAACAGTGAATCAATCACAGCGAGATCCGTTACTGTCTGTGTGTGTGTGTGTGTGTGTGTGTGTGTGTGTGTGTGTGTGCGTGTGCGTGTGCGTGTGTGTGTGTGTGTGTGTGTGTGTGTGTGCGTGCGTGGATGAACCGGCCGGACTGCGCTCCCGGCCGGGTAGAGAGATTTGTGTGTAGGGAGGGGCGGGCGCTCTATGTGACTGGCCAATCACAGAGCGTGAAGACAGTCAGTTACCCAATGAGGATTTTCCCTCAGCACGATTACAGATATTGACTCGTTTTACTCGTTTCATGCTCGTATTCGTCAAAAATGCTTTATCCGTACCGGATACTCATCTGAAACGAGTATCCGACTCATCCCTAGTTTGTACCTGTAGAATGAAATGTGTGTTTTGAGAGTTTTGATTTCAAACTTGTACATTGATTTTTTCAATTTGGAAGTCCGCTAGTTACAAAACGAAAGTTTCATGTTTCTGAATGAATGTTTGATGTTACAAAATGAGTAGTAAATGTACAAAATAAAAGTTTGATTTTACAAAATAAAAAATACATGTACAAAACACAATGTTCCTGTTACAAAACAAGAAATACAAGTACGAATACAGAATTACAAGTTAGAAAACTAAAGTTACAAGTTACGAATCCAAAGTTACAAGTTATGAAACATGTTTGAAGTTACAAAACTTGGTACAAGTTACTCTGAATATTGTCCCAATCCTAGCTCCATATATTGGACCCTTCATTCACGCGTTCATTCAC